GTGGCTTCTCTGTGTCGAGGTTGGGATCTTCCTCGTCTCGTTCTCCATGCTCAACCTGCATCAGGGACCATTCACTGAGCACCACGGGCACCAGGATTGGCAGTCATGGTCAGGTTGGAGGCATTTCACCTGGCACCTACTGGCTACCAATGCCCTATCCTTGTCAGTGGCCTTCATGGAATCTGTGGGACACTCCTTGGTTGCGGAGGCGGCACACCCGGCAGATCACTGGCAGGAACTGTGGACTGCAGGTTCAGGCATCAGTGAGCCTTTCCTGAGTGGAGCCTATAGAGCTGCCCCTTCCAGCTCCACCACTCCAGGAATGGGAGCCAGCAATTCAGCAGTGCCTGGCTCTTCCTCTCCACTAATACCATAAGATTTCAAGGCCTAATAGGATCTTTTGCGGTGCGCAGCTGCTTCTCTGGGCTTTCAGGCAGAGTTCTTGCAGGAGAACATCAATAAGTTAGTGGACATCCTACAGCTGTCTGCTCCTGGGAGAGTACCACTCCCTATCAACGACATGCTCCTAGAGCCTGCAGTGGTCCTCTGGAGCATTCTGGCTTCAGTACCACCTACTGCAGGGGTCTCAAACTCAAATGACCACAAGGGCCACATGAGGAGGTTTATTGTTTTCCCACATCCACTGAAGGCAGGTTAAGAAATAATGGGCTTAATCTGCAGCCATGGAGATTAAGGTTACATATTAGGAAAAACTTTCTAACTATAAGCATAGTTTAACCCTGGAATAGACTTCCAAGGGAGGTTTTTTTAACAACATGGAATCTCCACCACTGGAGGTTTTTAAAGAATATGTTGGACAGACACCTCTCAGGGATGGTGTAGGTTTACTTTGTCCTGCAACAGTGCAGGGGGCTAGACTTGGTGACTTCTTGAAGTCCCTTCCACCCTACTTTTCTATGATTCTATGACTCCCCAACCAAAGTGAATGGGGCTTCACATGAGTACAACAGTCTGCCAATGCACAGTCCGTTACCGGATTGGAGTTTAACTATATTACAAGAGACAACAAGTGGATCCAATGAACAGACAGTCTCACTGATACCTTTGTGCTCTCTCCTATTATGTTTAGCATAATGAGCAGTGGTCACAGTTATGTGAAGAATGGAAGGGGAATCTTCTGAAATGGACACATTCTGTAAATACAATATTTTAAAATCAATTAACTGTTACAGTTTTTATATCCCCACCTCCAAAAAAGGTAATTTACCAGTGATACAGTTCTGTGTGGGGACCAGCGTTGACCTTCCTGTGTTTAGAATGAGACCTAGACAGTTGTGTAAGTGCAGTGTGATATTATGTGAGAAAGGACTTCTTCCCTTGGACCTGCACCTGAGCAGCAAGGCATCCAGATAGAAGACATAAATGCCCTTCTTCCTGAAGTATGCTGTCAACTTTGACCATATATTTGGTAAAAATCCTGGGGGCAGAAGACCGCGCAAAGGGAAGAACTGTGTACTGAAAATGGTGGTTTGCCATGACGAACCAGAGAAATCTTCCGTAGCTTGGGAAAATTGCCACATGGAAGTAAGCGTCCTGAAGGTTCAGAGCAGTCATTCTGAGTCAACACAGGGAGAATAGTTGACAAGATAACCATACAGAACCTCATGTATCTGATGTATATGAGGAGGCTGTGGAGGTTGAGAACAAGTCTTACCCTCCCTTTGGTTTGTTAACAGAAAGTACTGGGAAGAGAAGCCCTGACATTGGTAAAAAAACAACAAGGAGTCTGGTGGCACCTTAAAGACTAACAGATTTATTTGAGCATGAGCTTTCGTGAGTAAAAACCTCACTTCTTCGGTGTTCCAGAAGAACTTCCTCCACCACTCCCAAGGCCAGCAAGGAGCAGTCCTGCTCAAGGAGCAATAACTCATGAAGAGGGATAGGGGGAGAAGAGTGGAGAGGAACTAGATAGTATAGCCTGATCTGACAGTGCTTGGGACCCAGTTATCGTCAAGTCCCAGATATCGTAGAAGTGAGCTAACCTGTCCCCAAATGGAGGCAGGGTAAGGGGAGTGATGACCAGACCACTACTCTGGACCAAGGAGTGAAAGTTGTTGCTTGGAGGTGCCAGGGGAGGCCATGTCAATTGGCTGAACTCCAGACCCGACTGCCTCCTCCCCTCTGGGACCTATGCCCCTTTGTGGGGCTATCCCTCTGTCACAAGGGAGGAAAAGGCTGCCCAAAGGTGCATTGTGGACAGTATTGTTGTTGCTGTTGGTCACCTAAGTAGCACTACTGCACTGACCATGTATGTACCGCCAAAGAATGTAGAATGGCCCTAGAAGCCACAAAGGTATGCAGGATCTCATCCGTCTTATCTGAAAACAATACCTGGTCATCAAAGGGCAAATCTTGTATGGCCTGCTGCACACTGGGAGCAATGCCCAAATTCTGCAACCAGGATGCCCTTCTCCTGGTCACCACAGAACACATAACTCTGGTTGAAATGTCCAAACATCCAGCGCAGACTGCAACGACGTCTTTGTCAACAAACGCTGTTTAGTGACAAACACCCACCTTCCTCTCTGGAGTTTTTAAGGCAGCTGGTTCACAAACTTAGACATAGCTCTCCAATTTACAAAATTGTATTTGCACAACAGTGCCTGCTGGTTCGTGATCCACATTTGCAGGGAGGAGATGTAAATCTTCCTGCCCATTAAGTCCATCCTTTTGAGGTCTTTGTCCTTAGAAGTGGACTTCAGCCTTCCCTGCTGACCTCTATTGTTCACTGCGGTTACGACTAGGGGGTTTGGGGCCAAATTGAAGTAAAAGCACTCAAATCCCTGCACTGAGACAAAATAGTGTTTCTCCATGCGTATTGCAGTAGGTGAGGGGTCTCAAACACATGGCACGTGGCCTCCTTGCGGCCCCCCCATCCTCCCCCAGCGTTTACCTAGAGGGGCTCCGGCCCGACGCGCACCGGGGGCAGAGCAGGCTCCCTGCCTGCCCTGCCCCCGCACTGCTCCAGGAAGCGGGGCACAGGGGTGTGTGTGTGTTGCTGTTGCTTCAGGCACCGCTCCCATTGGCCGCGATTCCCCACTCCTGGCCAATGGGAGCTGCTGGGGGCGGTGCCTGAAGCAACAGCAACACCCACACCTCTGCGTCCCTGCTTCCCCAGGTTCCGGCTGCTTCCTGGAGCGACGCGGGGGCAGGGCAGGGTGCCTGCCCTGCCCCCAGTGCACGTCGGGCCAGAGCCCGCCCCCCGAACTCCTCCTGCAGCCGAACCCCCTGCCCTGAGCCCCCTGCTGTACCCCGCACCCCTCCTGCACCCTGACCCCCTGCCCTGAGCCCCCTGCTGCACCCTGACCCCCTGCCCTGAGCCTCCTGCTGCATCCTGACCCCTGCCGCACCCCTCACTCCTCCTGCACCCCACACCCCAACTCCCTGCCCTGAGCCCCTGCCACACCCCACATCCCTCCTGCACCCCCTGGGGGCAGGGAGGGGGTGGAGTTGGGGTGGGGATTTCGGGGAAGGGGTTGGAATGGGGGCAGGGAAGGGGTGGGAACAGGCAGGGAAGGGCCTCATGGAAGGGGTGGAGTGGGGGCAGGGCCGAAGGTGGCGGGGGGGAGGTGTCAAATACAGACAAGGGCAAAGTACTTAGTCAGAGGTGAAAGTGGGCCGGTACGGCATACTGGTAAGAAGTGGCCGCCAGTACCGGCCCATACACAGCCCACGTTAAAGTGCTGTTGTGGCAGCACTTTAACGTCACTGCCCAGCCCGCATCCAGGGCTGCCGACGGCGGGGGCAAAAGGGTCAGCTGCCCTGGGGCCCGGGAATTTAAAAGGGCCCGGGGCTCCCAGCTGCTGCTACCACAGCAGCCGCCGGAGCCCCGGGTAGTGTGGACCGGGCAGCGTGGAAGGGCAGGCGGGGGGAGGCTGACCCCCTGGCCGCGCCCCTTCCAGGGACCTGGAGCTTGGCCCCCATACTGGTAAGTATTTTATCTTTCTTTCACCCCTGGCTCTCCTTCATTAAGTAGAGGACCTAAGTTTCCTGTGTCTTTCTATTGTTCCTAATATATTTAAAGAACTACTACTGCTTGCCTTTTATGTCCCTTGCTAGGTGTAACTCACTTGGGGCCTTAACCTTTCTTACTTTGTTCCTACATGCTTGTGCTATTCTTTTGTACTCATTCTTCGCAAATTGTCCACATTTCCACTTTTTGTAGGGTTCCTTTTTGATATTTAGGTCATTATATTGCTCAATTAGGAGTCTTTTGGCCTCTTACTATTTTTTCTTATCTTTCCTTCACCTTGAGATAGTTTGCTGTTGAATGCAGCAGTCTGCCTGCACGTAATCCATTCAAGGATTTGGAACCTTAAACTGAAAGCTCTTTGGGTCAGGGTTGGTGCAGTGCCTAGTTCAATGGAGCCCTGATCTTGATTGAGGCCTCTTAGCAAAAAAAAAAAAAAAGCTTTAACTCGATTTCACCAGCGTCTTTTATTACAACTAATATTGTTGAAACTACATGATGCATGCTCATAAATAAAGAACACTGAGTGCCATAAGTTTTGTTGCACTAGGGTGTGAACATCTGGATAAATATTAGTTTGGTCAGCTACTATTGAAATGTGGTGTATGTTTATCTTTGTCATTTTAGTCAATTTTATGCTGGAATTAACCCAAAATGAGTGAAAGCTTTTCTGAGAATTTATATTAGGGTCTTGTGCCATAACACAGGAATTTGAAACATAATATATAGTTGCATTCCATTTCAGCTCATTGCCTGGAATTAAATTGTTTTAAAGTTACAGTAATTTAAAAATAAATAAACAGATTAGTAGTTTAATAAGTAGGCATTTTTATGTCTTCCATGTATTCATAATGCTGCTGAAGTGAGTTGCATAAATAATTGTGTTAATGGAATTAGGAGGAAAGCAGATTTTTTTTTCCATTGCATTGTTCAAATATATTCCTTTTAAAAACCACAAAATAGCTTGAAGTTCTGGGAAAAAATAATTAAAATATTTTTTTCTCTGCAGATTAATTCCATGCTGTTATCTGGAAATTGAGCCGGAGATTAATTTTGGCACAGTGATTGCAAACAGTAAAGTAATTAGTAGAGAGATTAGTATTACTAACCATGGATCATCTCCAGGTAAATGTCACTATGCAGTAAATTACCAAAAAGTTTTATTTTTCTTTGAAAATGTAGTTTTTGTGCAAGTTAACACTTCAGCCATAAAGGAATTTAAGATCTTATGCAGGAGAAAATAAGGCTTTGATTTGAACAGGACTGTGAGTGCACAATTGCTGGTTTTGTAAGTCCCCCCAGACTCTTAAACTCAATAGTGAGTTGTTGTGAAACTGCTCAGAGAAGGAGAGCTCATGTAAAACTCCTGGCAGCTGTAAGACTTCTGATTATTCAAAAATACATTTGTAGTAGTGCGCTATTCTTGAGTCTAGGCAGAGGCCTGGTCTACATTATACAGTTAGGTCGATGTAAGGCAGCTTACATTGACCTAATTATTCAGTGTAGTCACTACAGCCTTGTCCCACTGATGTATGTGCCCTACTACACTGACATAATAACTCCACCTTACGAGAGGCGTAGGGCTTATGTCGTTGTAGTTAGGGTGACACAGTGTCTCCGAAGACACTGTGTTACTTACATTCGCTGTTGGCTGTCTTGTCAATTTCATGGAGTCTCAAAATTGACAAGAAAGCCCAACTCTCCAGCCAGGCTCCTGCTGGGTCTCCGCTCCAAGCTGGGCTGCCACCCAGGCTCCTGGCTTGGGCTGCTGCCCGAACTCCCCACTCCGTGCTGGAAGCCCGGCTCCACGCTTCCTGCTGGGAGCACGGCAGCTGACCAGACTCCGTGCGTGGATCTCCCTGCTGGAGGTAAGAAGCCCTAGATGGCTGCCTTGCGGCTGGCAGCAGGGAGGCAAGAAGCCTGGGGGCAGCTGGACTTCCTGCGGGGATCTGCACGGAGCTGAGTCATACCTCTCAACCCTCCACACTGGCCATCTTCAGTCAGTGGAAGCACTACTGGTGAGGATGTGAACCATCGACCCAAGGAGGTTAGTGTGTAGACATCCAGTCATCTCAGTAATTACTGTGGTGGCTGTAAGTCAACCTAACATAGGTCTATTTAGATTGTAGCATAGACATGCCCTGAGGGACTGCATTAGAAATTACAAGATGTCGTCTCCTTTCATTAGGCAGAATAGCTCACATATAACTGCTTTTATTATTTTTATTGAAGTCTGTGATCCCAATACCTTCCCACTGGCAAGACATGTTGCTCTGAAACTTGGTAGGAATTGCAGTGGCAAAATCCATCAGGATGAGGGACAGGCCATGCCTGTTACCACAGAATAAGTAGGGCAACTGTCTGTTCCAACTAGAGAGCTTTCACCTGGTCGGCATAGCTCTTGAGATCACATAAATTGAGAAGTTTGGTGTTTCTGAGCAGGTGTCTCAAGTCCCTCAGCTTCTTGGAAGGAACCTTCTTAAGTGTATATACCCTTCAGGAGAAAATTCTGATGATCTGGTATGAAAAGACTTGTGTGGAATCTTTTAAGTGATCCCATATAAATAGGGTTGGCAGAACTGAATTTTTATTTATTTATTTTTTATAGTTGGGACACATACTATAGATGTTTATTTTTAAGCTTTTTTCAACTTTTATCAGTTTAAATTTTCACAGTTAAGGGAAATTGCGTGGGGCTAAGTCTGGGGGTGTGCGTCAGATAATTATTTAATGACTGTAGTTGAGATGCAAAAAGTTAAAGCTTTATAATTGTTAAAACAAATTTGTCAACATCACATGTTCAAATATACAAAGTAAATGTCCTTATATCAACCTCTAATAAGCAACATTTTCTTACTTTGACTATGTGTACATTTTTATTATTATTGATGGAAATATTTTTTGTTTTGTTTTTGTGTGCACAGTGAAATTGACATTCACCAACATTTACCAATACAAATCTAATCCTTCCAAGCCTACATATAAATTATTTGACTACATTTTTCACTTGTCAGGGTTATAGGCATTTTCTTCCAGAAATTGTTTGGCATCTATTCTGGGTTTCAGGGAACAAACTTAAGGCATATAATTTTTCTCTGGCCCTTGGTCATGTGTGACTTAATCCATTTGGAAATGCTCACTAAAAGCTCCCTGGTTTGTAGCATATTAAGGTGGCCCTGACTAAGCTGATGGAATCTCCTTTTGAGCCATTTGATACCCGTGAGCTCAAGTTTCTTACGTAGAAGGTCATTTTCTTATGGCAGTAACTTTAGCTCATAAAATGAATAACTTTCAGGTTCCAGTGAACGATCCACTTTTATATTCTCTCTTTTTAAGGATAAGGTGATATGAGTATGTATACTAAATTCCTTCCAAATTTCTTCCTTCAAAATTCAACTTTAGTTAATCATCCTACCATCATTTTATCCCAGGCCTTTAAGCCCATCCTGGTGAAGCTGTTCTTCATAAGTGTCAAATTATCTATAGATGTTTATCTGATATGGATTAAAATCCATCTGGTTTTTGTTGTTCTTGTCTTACACAAAAATAACAGGGAATGTTGTTGCCAAGAGAGCCATATGAGAATGGCTATTTAATTGCAGGTCTCGTTTAAAATCTGGCAGGCCTACAACTCAATGATCACATCAACACCCTGTTTGGGATGAGGGAAGCTTGCTGTGGCTGAAAACTTCTGATACATCTACAGGAGATTTGTGAGGCAGCCATGTTCACATACATGCAGACATCTAGTCCGGCTTTGAGCAGGGAGTTGGACTAGATGACCTCCTGAGGTCCCTTCCAACCCTGATATTCTATATTCTATGATTCTATCTACTAAGCACTAGTGCTCAGATTTTGTTTGTGTTATAAAAAATCTTTTTTGCTATAAGGTATCAAAACTGTTGCACACTTCAGTAATTTTAGAATTTTTTATCTTTGCTTTTTATTCCAGATGTTAAATGAGGGGTGTGTGTATATATGTGTGTGTGTGTGTGTGTGTGTGTGTATGTGTATATATATATATATATATATATATATATATAATATAGACACTAAATTAATATATATAAAGTATAAAAGGAAAGGTATTAACAAAGAGGACAAAAATATTTGTATATACTATTTGTTTTGTGAAAAGTTTCAGTTATAATCTTCTGTTTTCCCTAGAATCTAATGCTCAACTCTATGGGGAGAAAAAAGTCAGTGGTGATCTATGGAACAGTATAAATCTTCTATTCCACAAAGCAGTTTGTTATATTATATAACAAAAATGCTTTGTGACAGGCATATTCAACTTGTTCTAAGTGTCTACTGAAATTTGTGTTTGGCTCTGTGTTTTTGTAGAGATGTCATTGAAGCAGTTTAGTCTTCTAAAGTGGGAAATCTACCACTGCTGTAAATTGCTTACCTGTTTTACATATCATTTTTTTTGGCTGAGGTAACTTCCAATTAGGGATAAATAGCCTTTCCTTTATACTTCTCACTACAACTTTGTCAAACACTCTTTAGGGGAGAAAATATTGATGTTAGTGTCTTCCTTTCCTGTTAACATTCTACTTAGTAATGATGCTTAGTGTTAGCAGCTGTTCACCGGACACTTTGAATGTACACAGATTTCATATATTTTTTTTATTTCTTCTACGAGGTTGGAACTTGATGTGTAATGTGTGGTTTTTTAAATCAGCCATTACTAATAAATGATAATTTATCTCCTAGAACAGAAGTAGTTGTGTGAGAAGTACTGATCCTTTACCTGTTTTAAGCATATGTATAATTCACCTGGAGTGAAGTTGAGCCTGGTGCAGAAGAAGCCCTATGATGAAGGATGGGCTGCTGATGCAGGATTGGGCATATGGAGGTGGCTTTGTATACACTGGTGCAAAGGATAGTATTGAGGGCAGACAAGGGATGGACCACTGAATCCATGACTGTGGGCCCAGTGGACCTAATACTCCCTGCAAGTAATGTTGAGGGGCAGTATCCAGACACTGGAGTTATGTCAGCAGGAGAGGGGCTGCATCCTGGCCTCTGAATGAGGGAGTAGGTTACATGTGTCCTGACTCCATGCTGTTAATCAACATAAAACTTGAGTACTTTATTTTGAGTCAGTATCTTGTTAAAAATCATAGAATCGCAGGACTGGACAGAACCTCAAGAGATCATCTCGTCCAGTTCCCTGCACTCATGGCAGGACTGTGTTATCTAGACCAGGGGTAGGCAACCTATGGCACGGGTGCCAAAGGCGGCATGCGAGCTGATTTTCAGTGGCACTCACACTGCCCGGGTCCTGGCCACTGGTCCAGGGGGCTCTGCATTTTAATTTAAATTTAAATTAAGCTTCTTAAATGTTTTAAAAACCTTATTTACGTTACATACAACGATAGTTTAGTTATATATTATAGACTTATAGAAAGAGCCCTTCTAAAAACGTTCAAATGTATTACTGGCATGCAAAACCTTAAATTAGAGTGAATAAATGAAGACTCGGCACACCACTTCTGAAAGGTTGCCGACCCCTGATCTAGACCATTTGATGTGGATGCTCCTGTGGTAACTACAGTACATGGCTTTATATAGCAGCAGTTTTAATAGTTTATTGATACTTCTTGGTTGTCAGCAGGTAATACGATGCCACATGTGGAATACATCCATTTATCTATTCTGTTGTTCAAATTGTTTGTTAATTTTTAAAAAATGTATCCTACACTTGTGCTTAGATTTTTCTCATTTGCGGTGTACTACACTGCATACATACGCAGTTGTCAATTGCATGGAAGGAGACAATAGACTTCTCTTTGGTTAAACTCTTAAACATTTGGCTACTACCGCTACATAAAGCTATGTCTCAAATTTGCCGGACATACAAAGTGTTACTAGCAACTGTTTTATGATACAATCAGTTGGGTTCTGAATGTCTATTACATTGTCTATTACAACAGTAACTTTGCACAATGGCATTGTATATGGACATCTGATGTTTGAGGAAAGCCAGAAAAACACAAATTTTAAATGTTAGATTAGGATTTTTTGCAATATGTGTGTTACGATACCATAATTTTATTTTTATAAGTTACTTTATTTTATGTACTATTTATGAAACTTTACTGTGTTTTAGTTTATTCTAAGTGTTGAATGCTAGATAATCTTCCATTTAAATGTCATATGTAACATACAATATTATATTCGTCTTAGGTGCATTTAAAATAGACTACAACGGAAGTGTCCCTGTTAACATAGTACCTACCAGTGGAGTGGTGGAACCCAAAACATTACAGTTGGTTAAAGTGGATATCTGTACAGATATACCCAGAATCATTAGGGAAGTGGCAAAGTAAGTGCAGAATGTGACTGCATAAAGTCTGCTTGTTTTGGATGATTTTTTAATATCCTGTATTATTTCTAAAATCTCTTCAGTACAGCTATATTTATCCAAATACTGAATAATTGGAACCACAATGTGACAAGAAGAAGTTAAGTTACCAGACATCAGTTGCTGCCCCCAATTGTCCAAAGCTTTACTTCATTAAATAGTTTTGCTGATGACATTAGCTCTATAGAGCAATGCTGTAGGAATTGTGTGCCTGGCAACACTAAAACAGTATTGACAGGCAGTGGATGCATGTCTCTTGAGCTCAACATTCTTCTGACCAAGGGCTACATACTCTTGCACTGTTGGTTCCTGTCTCTCTGCCAGCTGATGTGATTTGGGGAACCTTGTCCTTTCTCTTTTAGTGGACTAGTTAGAGAGTGTATTTTAAAAAAAACCTTTATAGATTTGAGAGGCATTACAGGTTCCATTGGTATTCTCACTTCAAGTACACTGAGTCTCTCTCAGATCAGTAGAATCTTTCAAAATATAAATATTTTTAAATGCAACCATAATAGCTCTTTCCTTTTGTAAAGAGTTTAAAAAAGTTATTTAAAGTTAGGACTTGATTAGTACAAAGAATCTAATTAGCCAAAAAAATCTTGTGGACCTGGGACAAATAGTGCTGCATTTATTCAGACAAATGTTATTGTTAATAGGCATGACGCTTCTCCAGTACTTTGAAGGGTTGTAAAACACGCAAACCCTTTTCTCTTCAAGAGCTTGAAGGACAGGAGCAATTGATTATAAATTCTTCTGTTAGTTCAAGAGTCCAGGAAAAGCTCTCTTGAGGAGGCAGTTTTCTGGCCCAAGTAAATCAGTTTATCACATTCCTTGGCACTGAAGCCAGGATCATCTGACAAGTCCTATCCTGTTAAAGGACGTCAAAAGCAGAGGACTCCTAGAGATGATCCATCTAAGATGGTTCAATTATTGAAGGGTTTAAAATCTTCAGATCCAGCAACAGGGGAGTCTGGCTTCTCTAGTTACAGGGGAATTGAGAAATTTTTTTTAGACGGAGCTAGGTTTTTATATGCTCAGATGAAGTGGGCTGTAGCCCACGAAAGCTTATGCCCAAATAAATTTGTTAGTCTCTAACGTGCCACAAGTGCTCCTCGTTCTTTTTGCTGATACAGACTAACACGGCTACCACTCTGAAGTGAGTAGAATGTAAGGCTCCAAGGATATGGTTGTCACCCACCTCCTAACTGCCGGTACTGCTCAAAAAACCCCCAGTGTCCCATGTGTGATTCTTCCACTATGACTCTGCAGAGACAACATACTCAGAGAACACAATTTATAATGGTACATAATCTCTTCGTACTGTAGAATGTGTTTATTTTTGTGCCAGTGTGGTTAGTTTAAATTCTCTGATATAGTTGACTAAATCAAAGGCGTATAGTAAACAAACTAAAGCTCCAATAAAATTCATAGATGATTCTTGTATGAATTTTAGATGTGTACATCTCATTTTTTCTGTTTCTCTTTCCAACAGAGTGGAATTGCAAGGTCGTGGTATTACAAACTTAAGGATAGAAGCTCATGTAGTTGAACAAGTTCTTGAATTAGTAGGTGTGTCTCATGAAAACACACTAGAATGTATTCATTTTGGATCTGTCTATTTTGGAACTTCAAATACTGAACAAGTGGTTCTGTACAATAAAAGCCCAGAGACCATGAACTGGGTGGCAGTACTGGAGGACGATGCTGTTGGAGGAGAGATGGTAAGGAAACAATGTTGAATTTTTTTAAAATTTCAGTGCAAAGTTGTTTTGATGACTGCTTTTCAGTCTCAAATTTTTTTTTTTTTTACAGCCTCCCTCTATTAGTGTCCCTTACCTCACTCTTCTTTCAGTCAGTACAGTTGCTGAAAGATCTGTCCAACAGCAGGACTATCATTATAGGTTTCATTGAGAGTAAAGTGTTCATACCAGCAAGAAATCAAGTCAACTTTTTTTAAGAGTCCATTTCATATCCCCCCTGCTAATGTTTGTGGGTTTTACAGTATAAATTGAGAGATTGGTGGTAGTGTTAAATTTTCCTACTTCTTAAACCTTTTTTGCTTCTGTTTCTTGTTGCTGTGTGAAAGAGCCACACTAAAAGGGGAAATTGACTGACATAACTATATTTCACATTTTGGTGTTATCTTACAGGGCACACATCTTCAGAAGAGTACTGATGCTGTTTTACAAGAATTGAGCTTCATAAATAGAACCAAAGAACTAGATGTTTCAACTTTGATCTCCTGCATTCCCAACCAAGGAACCTTGCTACCTTATCAGAAAACTGTGGTTACACTGTGCTTTAGTCCAAAGTAAGTACACAGGGCAACCTTAAGAGGCTGACACAATAAAAGATGTAATTAATAAGTTCAGGCAAATCTATTTGCAGCTGTGTTAGATGTATTAAATTAACCCTGATGTCTCAAATTATTTCCTCTCAATGGGCACAGATCAATGCTAGTTTACTGCTTATGGACAGTTTAAAATAAATTAGAAACCTAATTTCTTATATACAGAGTTAAAAGTAAATTAATTAAAATAATACATTTTTGTTTGATAAACAAAGATGTATACATTTTCCCCCAGATTAAATCTACAAATTTCCTTTTAGTTCATCCTCCAAAGTAATCACAGATCAATCCAGGCAAGGAGGTTTGATTTACTGTTCAAAAATAATTTTTAAACTCTTCTTGCTGGCTAGAAGTTTGGCTGAGAGGCTTTGACAACTGAGTTATGTCAGTTATAAGAACATTTCCTGGATGAAAAATTGTGTGCGGGGGAAATCTCTTGAATTAGGATAGTTCGTCACCTTCAAGTTAGCAGTTTCTGCTACATTCCCCATTGCAAATGCAGCGCACTACGGCAGTTGATAATCTGGTGTTTTACACATTTGTTCTGTGCATGCCAGCATGTATGTACATGTGCCATAGTAACGTCTCATCCTGACACTAGTGACAAGAATAGAAAAAAGACCTACCTTACTGTAAAGTAGTTAATAATTCACTAAGATTTACTTCAGCAACCAGAAAGTTGGCTAACAACATGTTTTTTCATGTTTCTGGGCAACAAGAAGGGTATTAAATTCTCCAGAGGAACTGATTTCCCTCCCCCGCCTGTTGAATATGCAGAAATGGCTGTGCGACTCCCACTGTTCAAGTTTGGTAACTTCTTTTAACTTGAATGTCACTAGAATAATGTCAACTTGGTGGTCTGAAAGAACAGAAACATCATCACCACCAGGTTTATATAGGGCAGCTACAGGGCTTCTTTGTATACTTGTGTATGTATGTCATTAGAGTTGATGTGGCTATACCCTCTGCTGCTTTTGGGACGTGGGAGCTGCAGATTACTATATCTGAGTAGTCTCTTCCGTTTCAGTACTGTGTTCAATTTTAAAGTCTCATTTGTCTGAGCTGTAACAGGATTGTAGAAATCAAATGAACTGATGAAAAATTACCATTGATTAATAATATGTATGGTATTTAAAGATTGTGAATTTTACAGGCAATTTAAAAGAGACATTGGACTTACTGAATTTCCACCAAGACAAGATTATGCACTGTTTTTGAGGTTTGAGGCCATAGGAAGTAAAGATAGCTTTCTGCAGGCTCTGAATGGTGACAGCATAACAATCAAAGGTATGTTATCAGAAATATATAGTTTACATGTGGAAAACTTTGACGTTTTTAAATTTTTCCACGTCAGATTAGTAATTTTAAAGGGGACCTGTATATGTGTTGTGGGGACCTGCACATGTACATTAAGAGAACTGGTGCTGAGGAAATAGTGAGGAAAAGGGCAGCCTTGACTTTTAAGATTCTAACTTGGGGTTGGAGGGGAAGAGGAAAATACATTTAGAATCATTTATGTCATGAATGCACCTTTTGGCTGCAAGAATTTAGTATTTAATTGTAGGTTTAACTAATTTTTAAAAAATAGATTTGTAAATCACCAAAGTTTATAGTTAGGTCAAAATGATTGTGTTTTTCCAATTTTAATAAACCAAGAGGGTTTTAAATGATGTATTAGCCTATATAAATAAGCATGTACATCTTGCATTAAGTTTGTGGCCAATTATATTAAAATTCTGAAACACAGTATTAGAAAAGAAACCATGTTACTTCATAATTTTACCTATTCTGTGGTTGTAAGAGTCTAAAACTGTTTCATGTCTTTTTAATTCAATATCGTATTTTATACTTGTTTCTTACTCTCTCTTGTGCAGAGACTCATCCTCATCATGTGGAGTTAGCTTTGACAGGTTCAGGGCTTCCTGTCATGTTAACTTTCAGTCCAGGACCAGTTGTTAATTTTATGGACTGTTTCATGGGTGAACACACAGAGATTATGTGCACTCTCAAAAATGAATCTGAGTCACTTCCAGTAACATTCAGCTTCCACAAGATAGCGCATTTTAATATTTGTCCCGAAAAAGGGAAAGTAAAAGAAAAATGTACAAAGGTAAGGTAAATATTCATCTTTTTCCCAGTAAATAGATACTTGGTTGGAAAGATGAGGACACCATTATGGTTTACAATTGTTCATGTTAGAACTGTAAATTGTTTTGTTTGCATATTTTCAGTGGTGAATACTAGATTCACTTAAGGAGAGGTTCCACATTTCCTTTTATATGAGCCAAGCTCACAATTTGTCAGTATAGAACCATACAGTGGACTCTGACAAGCACCAAATACTATCAATTTTCAAATGGGGAGGGATGGGAAAGTACATTTTGTAGTGACTCTGGCCTTCATCCTGCAAAGACATAGATACTTAAGTAAAATTGCTCATGTACTTAAATCTTTGCGAGATAAGGCCTTAGGTTTAATTGTTCCATTAAATCACATATTTTAGCTCTTTTCCTTTATGGAGCACAAAGGCATGTACAGTTAGAACAAGTATATAAGTATAACTTTTATGAACAGATAAATTCAGGGCACCGTGGAAGATGAATTATTCTACAGAATTGAGCTTATAAAATTTTGTTAATGCCTAACAGTTCTATCCTTTTTAATTGGTTCAATTACATGTAATAATTAGTACTATGAAAAAGCAAGTAGTACCCTTTTAAAATAAATTTGAATCAGTATGATGTAACTAATTTGTAATAAAGAAGTCTACATAATATCTCTCTGCTTTATTTTTAATAAAATGTTTCATAGCAATGTTCATTTTTTTAGGATGTGATGTTTTCATTTGCTCCACGTCAAGCAGGAACCTTTAAAGCGAAGCAAGTCGTAGATATTTTCGGTTCAGTGGCAGAGGAAGATAACTTACTGTCTTTGAAGATCAAACCCTTTCATCAAATACATTTAAGTTTTACTGGTGTATGCAAACCGAAAACCAAGAAAATGATGTTTAAAATCAACCCTGGTATGTTACTAAACAAAAAATTCTGAGTTTTCATTTTTAGAAATATACTTCTTAACAGGTCTTAGGAATAGAGTCCGTTCATATTTTAGCCGTTTTAAAAAACATTTTTATTTGAAAGATTACTCACTTTATTAAAATATATCCATGGTAATTGTTTTTTAAAATTTTTACATGATTTATCTAATCAGGCTTTAATTTTGTGCTGCTTTATATGATCCTGAGGATTTGCAGTCTTACGTTTTACATTAAGAATTATTGTACTGTACTTTTGTATTTAACTATCTTGAACAATCCTGGTAATTTTTCTTTGTAATGTATCTGTTAATACCCTCCACCTAACACTTGAGAAAATATTTAGGAGCCTAACTCCCACTGAATTAGGTGCCTTAAAAACCTTTGAGGATCTGGACCAAAATGCCTGTTTACCAGAATAAATACATGGAGATGGTTGTTTACTAGAAGGAACACTGTCAGGTTGAAAGTTTTTTTTTTTATATTTATATATAAAATACACTTTATGTGGTGAACTGATAATACCTTGGATTATTGAAAATAATTTTTTTTTTAAAAAAAAAGTGTTTATCTTTTATACTGTTTGTTCACTCTTTGCATTTCACTCACATCAAACAATCATTTTCATTTTCTGGTAGTTGTGCACTTGCACAGTGCTGCTGTGTTTGGATTCCAAACAGTGACATGGACCATGCAGAATAAGTTAGGAGGGACAATATATACCACAGGTGTTTAATGTTTTTTGAGGCTACTATTACCCCATGATTTCACCACCACACCTAGTTCTTTGATCTTTCCCCATATCACTGTCCTGCAACTACCCCAGTCCTATGGATCTGTGATATCCATAGCATAAATGATATTCCAGAGCATAAAGCAACTCCCTCATATTCCCGGTTAGGTTACTTGTCCTTGTTTCTAATATCTTACAAGAGGTCCTACCCAACAGTGTTGATTTAGCCAAGGCTACTGTTTGGTTTCAGAAACCCAGTTCTTGGCTAGTGTCCAAGATGCTGTGACACTTAAATCCTGAAGTTTTGCTACAGGGCTTGTCTTCATTCTGATCCACCAAGCTTGTGGTTTGGAGGAATTGTTTTATTCTGTCGGACAGTCCAATAATTATTTTAAAGCCCATACACTTCGATTGTTTTAAATTTACATAAATTGAAAGATGACCGGTAATGAAAGAAAAGACGTGGGCTACAGATGTATGTTTAAATGGTTATTCATTTTAGGTGTGATTTGATGGTTCAAATGGTGTGTGTGTGTGTGTGTGTGTGTGTGTGTGTGTGTGTAAATACATCCATTTCTTTCATGTCCAGGTTGCTTACTTTGCTGCCCATTTTAGCTCCTGTTTCTTACTACCTTCCCCAACCCTTAGGTTTCTGGTCAATCATATAGCATAAGGACAGGACTTCTGGAAAAACATTTCCATTTGGTCGCCTAGGAAGAACTGCAATATGAGACTTGGCCAGTTTGAGAGTCATCTGACAAAACAAATTCGAATGGGAGACTGCCTAATAAGAAGCCTACCTTCTCAACAGAGAACTTTTTTTTTTGTTTGTTTGTTTTTGGGCAGGGGAATCTCCAGTAGCGTCACAAAGTTGGGATGGAGGAAAACATGTTCCCCTCCTCCCTCCCTGGTTATGCCAATGAATGCTGTTAGGAAATAGTTATATTCAAACAAACTATTTTAACTGGATTAATTTTATACATGATAAACTTCTATTAATGTAGTTATGCAGAACTTTAAAAAAAATACTTATCAATTTTGGATTTAACTGCCTGGCTGTGTTTCTTTAATTTAAAAAATATAGGAAAGCAGACCCATATGTGTATAGTAATAAATTAATTTCAAACTATATACTAGTAAAATCGAGAGAAACTGTGGAATATATAAATGTAGGCCTTGGGCTACACTTGCAAGTTACAGCGCTGTAAAGGCTCCCCCAGCGCTGTAACTCACTCCCCGTCCACACTGGCAAGGCATTTGTAGCGCTGTATCTCCGTGGTTGCAGCGCTGCATGTACTCCACCTCTCCGAGAGGAATAGCAAGTGCAGCGTTGCCACTGCAGCGCTGCGGCGCCAGTGTGGCCGCCCAATGCGCTGTGAATGGCCTCCAGAATTATTCGGCAGTATCCCACAATGCCTGTTCTAGCCACTCTGGTCATCAGTTCAAACTCTACTGCCCTAGCCTCAGGTAACAAACCATGTGACCGACCCTTTACATTCCCCGGGAATTTTAAAAATCCCCTTCCTGTTTGCTCAGCCCGGCGTGGCGTGGAGTGCTATCAGTGAATCTTTCCAGGTGACCATGCCTCCACGCGCCAAGCGAGCCCCAGCATGGAGCAATGGCGAGTTGCTGGACCTCATCAGTGTTTGGGGGGAGGAAGCTGTCCAGTCCCAGCTGCGCTCCAGCCGTAGGAATTACGATACCTTCGGGAAGGTATCAAAGGACATGATGGAAAGGGGCCATGACCGGGACCCCCTGCAGTGCAGGATTAAAGTGAAGGAGCTGCGGAGGGCCTACCGCAAAGCCCGCGACGCAAACGGCCGCTCGGGTGCTCCCCCCGCGACCTGCTGATTCTACAAAGAGCTGGATGCGATACTTGGGGTTAACCCCACCTCCACTCCGAGCACCACCATGGACACTTCAGAGCCGGTGTGGGGTGGGGGGAGGAGGAAAACGGGAGTGATGGTGGTGGGCCGGATGGAGACACCCCGGAATCCCTGGAGCCATGCAGCCAGGAGCTCTTCTCGAGCCAGGAGGAAGGTAGCCAGTCGCAGCGGCCGGTACTTGGTGGAGGACAAACAGAAGAGCAGGTTCCCGGTAAGCGGTTTTTTTTTTTTTCCGGGAAGGAATTTTTTCGGTGCGGGCTCTTTGGAAGAGGACGGTTAGGCATGCATGCCTAGATGCGGAATAGTGCATTGATGTGGTTTATCACATCGCGGTAATCGGCCTCGGTAATCTCCTCGAATGTCTCATCCAGAACGTGTGCAATGCGCTTGCGCAGGTTTATCGGGAGAGCCACCATGGTCCTTGTCCCAGCCAGGCTAACGTGTCCGCGCTACTGTGCCGCGAGGGGTGGGGGGACCATTGCTGCACACAGGCAAGCTGCATATGGGCCAGGGCGGAAGCCGCATTGCAGTAGAAGACCCTCCCTTGCTTCCCAGGTCACCCTCAGCAGCGAGATATCGTCCAGGACGAACTCCTGTGGAAAATGTTGGGACAGTGTTCAGTGTAGGTGCCCCCTGAAGCTGTTGGCTCTCCCCCAGGCACAGAAACCCAGAGGACAGTGCAGCCCTGAAACTATCAGTCCCCCTTACTCACCATTTTGAGGCTCCCGTGGGATATGGTGTGCTCTGTTTCGGACGGGAAAATTATGCTATTGTGTAGACCCTGTGTGTTTTCTACTCCTTAAGTGCGGGGGGAATCATTACTCTGTCTGGTATAAACAATGCTGCCTCTGTTAAATGTTGCATTTTTGCTTATACAGCTGCATCAACCTTGAGACCTCAGCCGTCCCTCTTATCGCCTGCTCAGAGACTGCGAAGACTCAGGAAGAGACCGCGAAAAAGCAAAGAAGACACGCTGCAAGAAGTGATGCGGCAATCTATTAAAGAGAATGAGAAAGCACAGGACTGGAGGGAGAGAGAAAGCAGGATCCGCCAGGAAAATGCAGCGCACCGGCAGCAAAGCACTGATAGGCTCATAAGCATCCTGGAGCGCCAAGCAGATGTTATCCAGGAGCTGGTAGCCATGCAGAAAGAGGAGCAGTACCGCAAACGCCACCCCCCCCTACAGCCCTTGTCCCAAAACTCTTTCCGTTGTGCCCCACTGTCACCTCCAACCCACTTTCCCCAACTTCCGTGTTCTTCACGCCACCCGCTGTCTCCAACACCAGTATCTTCACCACCCAGCCCTGAAAACCACGACCCTTACCCTCTGCACTCAACCCCCATCACCATGCAGTATAGCTGTCCTGAAGTGCAGCACTCACTGCTCAGCATACCAGACAGGACATATGCGAATCTGTGATTGTACTGTTCCCCACTCCACCCCCTTGTTTCTTTTCAATAAATGGATTCTTTGGCTTTGAAAACATTCTTTATTATTGCATAAAGTAAAAGACTCCTTAGCCCAGGAAATAAACAGGCACTGCAAGTCTGCTTGTCTGCTAAGCAGACACTGATTCCTAAAGATTGGAACTACTGCACTTCACTCCTGTGCAGGGCACCAGATATCACTGCTGGTTTTCAGCCTCAAATTGCTCCCTCAAGGCATCCCGAATCCTTGCAGCCCCGCTCTGGGCCCCTGTAATAGCCCTGCTCTCTGGCTGTGCAAATTCAGCCTCCAGGTGTTGAACCTCGGAGGTCCATGCCTGAGTGAAGCTTTCACCCTTCCCTTCACAAATATTATGGAGGGCACAGCACGCGGATATAACCGCGGGGATGCTGTTTTCGGCCAAGTCCAGCTTCCCATACAGAGATTGCCAGCGGCCTTTTAAACGGCCAAAGGCACACTCCACAGTCATTCGGCACCGGCTCAGCCTGTAGTTGAACCGTTCCTTGCTGCTGTCAAGGCTCCCTGTGTAGGGTTTCATGAGCCACGGCATTAACGGGTAAGCGGGATCTCCAAGGATCACAATGGGCATTTCAACTTCCCCCTACCATGATCTTCCACTCGGGGGGAAAAAAGTCCCAGCCTGAATCTTCTTGAACAGCCAAGTGTTCCGAAAGATGTGTGCGTCATGCACCTCTCCGGGCCAGCCCACGGTGATCCACAAGCACCTGGAGAACCATAGAGAAATACCCCTTCCGATTAACGTACTCGGATCCTAGGTGGGGTGGTGCCAGAATAGGAATGTGCATCCCATCTGTCACCCCTCCACAGTTAGGGAACCCCATTTGTGTAAAGCCAGCCACTATTTCCTGCACGTTACCCAGTGTCACGGTTCTTCTGAGTAGGATGCGATTAATGGCCTTGCAAACTTGCATCAACACGATTCCAACAGTCGACTTAGCCACTCCAAACTGGTTTGCGACCGACTGGTAGCTGTCTGGAGTTGCCAGCTTCCAGATTGCAATAGCCACCCGCTTCTCCACTGGCAGGGCAGCTCTCAATCTCGTGTCCTTGCGCCACAGGGTGGGGGCAAGCTCCTCACACAGTCCCCTGAAAGTGGCTTTTCTCATCCGAAAGTTCTGCAGCCACTGCTTGTCATCCCAGACTTCCATGACGATGTGATCCCACCACTCGGTGCTTGTTTCCCAAGCCCAAAAGCGGTGTTCCACGGTGCTGACCATGTCCGTGAATGCCACAAGCAATTTCATGTCGTACGCGTTACGCGGCTCGATAGCATCGTCGGACTCCTCTCCCTCACTCTCACTGTCGCTTTGGATCTTCAGGAATAGTTCGACAGCCAAACGTGACGTGCTGGCGAGACTCGTCAGCATACGCCTCAGCAGTCTGGACTCCATCTCCCGCAGACTGATCGCGCTGCACAGAAACCGTTGAAAGATGGCACCAAAGGTGGACGGAAACAAAGGGATTTCTGGGATGCAAAGCAATGCATCACGGGGCATTGGGACAGGACCCAGAATCTCCCGCACCCATGCCCCCTTCCCACAACCCACGGCGCCAGAATGGGAAAAGGTGCTCTGTGGGATAGCTGCCCATAATGCACCGCTCCCAATAGTGCTGCAGTTGCCGCAAATGTGGCCACGACAGTGCGCTGGGCAGCTGTCAGTGTGGACAGACTGCAGCGCTTTCCCTACTCAGCTGCACAAAGTCAGGTTTAACTCACAGCGCTGTACATCTGCAAGTGTAGCCAAGGCCTTAGTGTCTGATTCTCTTCTCTTTTACACTAGTTCAAAATATACATTGTTGGTTGTATTATGGAAGCACCTAGAGCAGGGGCGGGCAAACTTTTTGGCTTGAGGGCTGCATCGGGTTTTGGAAATTGTATGTAGGGCCAGTTAGGGGAGGGGGGCTTGGCCTGGCCTGGCCTTGCCTCCCACCCCCCTATCTGCCCCCCCCCACTTCTCACCCCCTGATGGTCCACCCCGGGACCCCTGCCCCATCCACCACCAGAACCCCCACCCCTGATTGCCCCCTGCCGCCCCATCCAACCCCCCCTTCTTCCTGACTGTCCCCCCAGACCCCAGCCCCATCCAACCACCCCTTTTCCCTGTCCCCTGTCTGTCTCCGGAACCCCTGCCCCTGACTGTCCCCTGTCGCCCCATCCAACCTCCCCCTTCCTGACTGCCCCCCCGGACTCCTGCCCCCATTCAATCCCTCTATTCCCCGCCCTCTGACCGCCCCGACCCCTATCCACACCCCCGCCCCCGACCACCACCCTGAACTCCTCTGCCTGGTATCCAACCCCCGCTCCCTTCCCCCTTACCGCACTGCCTGGAGTACCAGTGGCTGGTGGCGCTACAGTCACACACTGTGCAGCACAGAGACCGGGTCAGGCCGGGCTCTGCAGCGGCGCTGCCCCAGGAGCTCGCAGCCCCGCCACCCAGAGCATTGCGCTGGCGGCGGGGCGAGCTGAGGCTGCGGGGGAGGCAGAACAGCAGGGGAGGGGCCGGGGCCAGCCTCCCAGGGCAGGACGGTCCCGCGGGCCGGATGTGGCCCACAGGCTGTAGTTTGCCCACCTCTGCCCTAGAGGTCCCATCTGACATCAGGGCTACATTTTGCTTTTTGTTGCTCATACGTAGTAAGAGATAATCATTGCTCCAAAATCTTTATAAACTGAATATATAAGAGTGATAAGCACGAGAGAGAGGAAGTATTAGGAATTAAGTACTATGAGGAACTGATAGAGAGATTCAGGCCCCAATTCAGCAAAGCATTTTAAGCACATGTGTAATCCCACAGATTTTAATGAGGCTATTCAAGTGCTTAAGTTTAAGTGGTTTGCTGAATCAAGGCCTAGATAACTTGCTCTGGATCATGCAGGAAAGTTTGTGCCAGGAGCAGGAATTGAACACAAGTCTGAGTCTTAATCCCTTTCCACAATACCATAATTTCTTCTCTTGAATGAAGATAATGTAAATACACTTTTGTAAAAATGGTGTGAGAAAAGTCAGAACTCCCATTTTTAGATGTGATTTCATTGTAATACCTTTATGAAACGTATATTTTTTTCTGAATTGAGATATTACTTTGTACCTCCCATTTGAAAATGGTAGCTTGATTGCAAGTAACTTGTTTTATTTAAATCCTAAGGCATAACACCAATGATTACCAATGCAACTGGACAGTTGGTAGCTGATGAGATTGGGCGATTTATTGATTTTGCACCAGTAGCAATGCTTCGATCAGCTCAAACACAGATGCATACTCACCAGATAAATAGGGACTGTAAAAGTGATGCACTTATAGCCTTTCCTAATGATCGCTCAGCCAGCATTAGGCCCAGTGAACGACATAAAAAATATAGGTAATGTACTTTAATATTTAAATAAGAAACTAGGATGTAGTATTAACAGTTTATTACTTATTTCAAAAGTAGATCACGATCCATCGCTTAAAATACTTGAGTATATTTTCAGACTGAATTTTTTTTATATATAGCAGTCTGTTTTGACAGAAGAATGTATGTACTACATTCTGAGTTGCTTCTCATAGGAAACTGCAGGTGTAACTACTAATACTTGTACGTTTTATTTTTATTGTTGTCTTTGCAAAGTCAAATACTAATAATCACCTGTAACATAATAGGAGTTTGCAATAAATTATTTATGTAACAAAATCAGTAATATTTTCCAAGTCTAACAAAACCCTAAATCATTAATCTATATAATGAAGCTACATTTCTCTCTAAATATTTAGGACTATTTTTACGAAAGCTGACCGATATCATTATGTGGATCCAGATTTTGCTTATACTGACTATGAAGAACTGGAAAAGCAAGCACATAAGGAATACTATGCAGATTTTATTCAAAGTTTAAGACAGCGTCGCTTACAAAAAGAAGCTACTAGGTAAAATTTTATTTCTTAAAAGAAGAAATACCTAAGGCATTGCTACAGTAAATGTACATTCATATTCAAATTAACTTCAGTGGGACTACTCATGAACTTAAATTTAAGCCCATGCACAAGCATTTGTAGTGCGGGGGCTTTAGTTCTTAATGTATTTAAAAAAATTTCTCCTAGTAATTATTTAGACGCTTAGGGCTGCTTCACTGGACAAAGCTCATGGACAGAGGCATAATGAGCCAGTGGCTCAAAGCTGAAGCTAGACAAATCCAGAGTAAAATTAAGAAGCATAATTTTAACAGTGAGGGTAATTGACCATTGGAACAATGGATTCTTTTACCTTGAAGTCTTTAAATCCACCCCCTTCCATGCCCTCCCATGCCCTCCCTCCCCCAAAAGGCATGGAGACTTTATTATTTATCTTTTTAAAGTTCTCTTTGGATGTCCTGATTTTGCTTAAGAATTCACAAAAATGCATGTGGATAAAATTGCAAGCGTGGGTCTATTACTTCATCTATCTGTTTGTACCTGAATATTGCAAATTTGTTAGAATAGCATTGGAAAAGTCTTTTAAAAATCTTTATAGAGTAGCCTGATCAGACATAGTGTAATGATTTAAAAATGTCCATTTATTTTAAAAAAATTGGATTTAACTTCTAGTTAAATCTTTACCCCAGTTTTTTATAAATTGAAAATAAGGTTTATAATGTGAAGTAAGTCACCAAGTACTAGTGATTATTTTCGGTAACAAATACTGAAGTTAGTTGTTATAGGTGGTGCAGGGTAGTGATGCCTATAATTAAGGTTGTCTGACACTTCCCATTATAAGGCTCTATTTTCACTAGTTTATAACTTTTGCCAGATTTTATCCATTTGGGTTGAAAATTTTCATGCGAGATGTCTTCGGGCTATTTTATTTTACTGAAAATTTCAGCTAAAATGGTTCACCTGCTTCGAAGATCCAGGCTAGGGGAAAACCGATTGTTTTACGCATGTTAAAACATTCTTAACTGTTTCGTTGAGACACTAATGCCCCTGTGCTTTGGAGTAAGGGCTTGAAATTGGGCAGGAATATTGCCTTGTGTCAGCGTTTTGCCTCCCCATGAAAATTTCTTTCAAATTTGGCCAGGGTTTAAGCCCCTGAAAAAAATCTCAGTTCACACATGTTCAGTAGAGACTTGCATTAAATTCTCTGAACATTCTATCTGGACTGGTTATGCTCCAGTTCTGGGCTGCATGGGCTGAACAGGACTTTCCCTGCATTTGCGACTGTAGTTGCTCATGCTAGCAGCCAGGGTTTGCTGTGGAATCAATCAACTGAACTGAGAGCAGGGAGACTGCTTCCCCTTTGCTCTCAAAGCTCCCCCTGCTGGCATCCAGGACCTGACTTGACTGCAGAGCAGTGAAGAGTTGGTGGATAGGACATGAGGAGAGGGTATAGTAATCAGAGGATGGTGAGAAACCATGGAGCAGGTTGTAAAAGGAGAGGGAGACAAGAAGTGGTGGGAGGGCTGCAGAGGGGAAGAGGGACAGGAGGTGGTGCGGGACAAATGGATTAGGAGCAGAGAGCAGGGTGTGAAAGGGAATGTGGGGAGGATAGGTACAGAAGGGGATAGGAGCCAGGCAGGTGGAGTTAGATGGAGGAACAGGGAGGGAACAGGAGGGGTTGAATAGTAGCAGATGGGGAGTGTGAGGCAGGAACTGCGGTGTGAGGGGTTTGCGTAGGAGTGGAGGAGGAAGGAGTCAGGAACTAGGATGGGGTAGGGGTCAGGAGCTGGGATGGTGGGATGGATAAGTGATGCTGGGGCAGGAGATTGGGTATGGGGGATACATAGGAGAAGAGAGGGGCAGGAGCCAGGGTTTGTGTGGGGTGCATAGAAAAAGTGAGGGAGCGGGGTGGGAGCCAGTAGGTGAATAGGAGCAGAGTGGGAAGTGAGCTAGAACTGAGTGGTGAGCATACAGGAACAGAGGGGGACACAGGCTTATGGGGGATGGGGTGGAAGGGTCTAGAACTACTAGGGTACACTCTCCTCCAGAACCTGGAAATGAACCCAGGAGTTTCTATATTCTTCGTCAGCAAATAGCTGTGAAACCCACTGGCAAAGTGTGTGTCTCATTCCCTGTGATGGCTTGTTCACATAGAGGATAACAGCTTACTATTGGTACCAGGTATTTGGTTAACTCAAATGAAAGAGATCTGTGCTGTGAAACTAAAGGTTCAAACCCAAGTTAGGGGTCAGTATGTTTCCACATAATAGAATTTCTGTTTTTTCAGTTTGTTCCCTAAAGAAAATTTAGGAAATCATGTTAAAAAAACAAACAAAAATCTATTTTAAAACATATTAATGTTACAAAGTCAATCAGTAAAAAGTTAAGAAATGCAGAAGTTTGCTTCTGCAACCGTAATTCAGTCCCTTTATGTGTAGACACCATAATACAGTATTTATTTACATGATCACCTACAATTTTTACCACAGGACCTCTGCCTCAGTCAGCATACATGATGGAGAGTTCTCTGGGAATTAATCAGTGTTGTGTAATGGATGAGGCTGTTGTCTGTAGAACCCCTGTCTCATTTGTTGCAGAAGTTGGAAGGTGTCTAGTGAACGAGTAGGGAATTGCAGGAAGAGAAAGGATGGTCTCCTGGTTAAAGTTGAATGCTGCCCTGGAGAACTGGATTCTATCCACAGTTCCTATGTGATGCTGGGAAAGTCACTTAAGCCAAAATGTTCACAGTTGGTCATCAGTTGCATTGAACGTTTTCTGGATGTCCAACATAAGACACCTGTGGCCAGATTTGAAGGAGTTCTGAGTTCTTGTGACTGCAACTGAAGTCGATTAGCTGTGCTTTGAACATATGAAGTGCAGTAAAAAGCCAAAATATCTGGAAAAATTAGGCCTTAGGTGGCAGAATTAGTGGACACTTCACTAGTTTGGCATTTCCTAACTTTTGAGTTCTTGACTTTGCAACCGTAACATTCTTAGATTTTGGATGTAATTTAACATTTATATTGCAATAGCACCTAAATGTTCACAATCCAGGTTAGGCCCCATTGTTCTAGGCACTGTACAAACATAGAGTAAATGACAGTCTGTGACTCAGACACTACAGTAGGATTGCTCAAAGTATTTGACACAATTGAGGATTTTTTCTCTAGAGAAATATGCTAATCCAAAGAACTACTTGAAATATTTTAAAATCGTAGTTAATTTTTAATATGCGTAACATGGAACATTTGTTAGGTTTCTAGAAATTTGGACTTTAACCTTTTTGTTTTTCTAAAGGAAATATAACAGTCTTAACAATCCTGTGAACATAGGCCTAAAACCAGCTTCAGGGCTCAGGTCACCAAAGATCACAATGACAGATTTACAGAAGGAGAAGCCGAAACTAGAAACAACTCCTTTAAATGAGGACTGCCTGCTAAGTAGTCGAAAGCTGGCAGCAATTGAATCTGAATCCTTAGCCAAAGAGGTAAGTTAGGCATATTTACATTTAAATAAAAGAAAAACATAACACTGAGAATAATTGATAAAGCATTTGTTGGTGTTTTCCACAGGTTTATGACGGGCTTAATGCTGTACCATCTTCTCCACAAGAGAAAGAAGATTGTAATATAACTTTGACACCAAAACAGCTTTATCAGATAATCATTGGTAAGATATCACCGAGGTTACATCATTTCGTTTGGCTGGCATAAAAGTATTTATTAATAGTAATATAATCTATACAGCATAATTATTTGCCTTAAATAGTATGTGTTTAATGAAAAGATGGCTTTAATATTCATGCTAGTGCTTGGTCATCAGTCCTGCACCTCTGCAGACAGTATAGAGGTGCAGAACACTTAGATTTGGAAGAACTTGTTTATGTCTCCCTTTGCAAAGTAGCTAAAGTGAGTCATACCACAGGTGTGATGAATATAGGTCATTCATTCTCTGAAGCCCTGATGTTGCATAATATGTGGAGAAGCATTAATATCAATAGAAGTACCCTGTCTATGGTTGTCTTCAAAGGAGAGGATTCTGGGAGGGAAGTATAGTGATATCACAATGGAGAAGGGTGATGTCTTAAAAACTCTTTTTAGACCAAATTTCAGTATGGTGTGGCGTGACAAAGAAGAACCTATATTTGGAAACCTGAATGGAACACTTCTACTAATGAGACTTGGTACCATAAATATTTCTCTGATTGCATTGTAAATATGTACAGTCCATAAAACGTTGTTTTCCTGAAAACTAATACAGCCTCATAGATTGTTGTTGTTGTTTTAAAAAACAACAACATTGTTTGAGGTTGGAATAACTCAAACTGGGCCTGCACATTTATGTGTAAAGGGAAAGGTAGTCTTTGGGTGTGCAAACTTCCCTTGTGACTGCTTGACTTTCACTCTCCCTACCTGCAGCCCCTTGGGTTTTATTGTTGTTGTACAGCTCCTCAACAAACGAGACCTCCTGCTACCTAGGGGTTAATCTTCAGGCACTGCAGCTACTCATGGAATTCCAGCTATGTGGCTAACGTAAGAGGTCTGGCATCGGTAGCATTGGCGGCAAACTCATGGAATGTACCAAGTAAAATTCACTTTGGCAGTTTATTCCATGTAGTAAAAGGAAAGCTGCTCCCTATACTTCATGACGATCTAACCATGTAGGATGTGAGGAAATCATGACGTACTGGGCAGTGGTGTAGCCAGGTGGAGGGAACAGGGGGAGCATCAAAAAAAAAGGCGCCACCCACTGTGGCGCTTTTACTGATGGGGCGGTGCTTTTACTCGCCCGGCGGCGCTCCGGGTCTTCAGTGGCACCTCGGCGGTGGGACCTTCACTCGCTCCGCAGGTCTTCAGTGGCATTTCCTTCAGTGCTGCCGAAGACACCCGGAGCGAGTGAAGGTCCCGCCGCTGAAGACCCGGAGTGCTGCTGGGTGAGTAATAATTAAAAAGGCGCCAAGATGCTCAGTGGGGGAGTGGCCGCTGCCCTGTTCCACCCTGGCTATGCTACCGATACTGGGTGGCTAGTAGGTAGAGTGAGAATTTCAGGTTTTATGCAGGTTCAGCGTACATTTGGAATATGTAAAATATGTCTTGTCAAACAAACGATTTTGTTTTTTGTATGAGATTACAAGTTTGTTTGGTATAGATAACTCTATAGACTTCCATGAGACATTTGACTTAGTACCCTGTGACTGGTAAAGTTTTCAGAGGACACAAAGATTGGTAGAGTGGGAAATGAGGAAAAAGGCAGGTCATTTACACAGAATGATTTGGATCACTTGGTAAACTGGGCACAAATTACATGCTATGATACTACGAACTGCTGTATTCACACCCTACAAACTATTGTAATCTTTCTACAAAATGTGCCTTGTGAGGTATCAATTGAAAACTAATAATTCACTGATCATTAATATCTTGCATGATGTATGTATGTGGTGGGTATTTAGAGTTGTGGATATATGCTAGAATCATGACTAAAATGTGTTTAAATCAGGCATGTCAAGTGCTGTTGGTAAACAGGTCTGCCTTAGATAAAGGAATATGTATGTGATTCTCTGACCAGACCAATCTTCAGGCAAAGACAAAGAAGGTCCATTTTTACATACTAGGTAAACAAAGCTATTAAGCTAACAAGTGGGGGAAGAAAGTATGGAGCTTCCTTCAGCACCAGACTTCACGTTGCCTTCCTCACAGCTTGAATAAACTTTTTTCTTTGGGGAGTAACCATCAGAAAAATCCATTAAAAAAATTTACTGGTCTAGAAAGACCGGGGGGGGGGGGGCTAACCATCAAGTGATATGCAATCAGATGATTTAATTGCTTATAATATTACAGTATTATAAGAGTGTACAGAGTGAGGTCTCTTCTGAAAGCTAATGACACACTGATGATTAATATCATTGTGAAATGTATGAACACTATACGAGGAAAAATGGGTACTTAATAATATTATATTTTGAAGTCTGAGGCCAGACAGGGAGAAACAAGTTCCTTCCCAGACAAGAGGTAAATAGCTGTCTTCTCTATCTCTTATGTAAATTAAGCATGGTGGAATCAAAATAGTGGAAGCCCCATTCCCATACAGGGAGATGGGAAGCCCCCAGGAAGGGAAGGATAGCATGAGGCATCCTGCCTCTTGAATCAAGTTAATTGAACTTTGGAAGATTCTAAGAGAAGACAGAAGCCATCTTTGGCATCCATCACTAGAAAAACACAAGGGAACAGAGGTCTTGCAAGCTGAGAAAGATGGGCCCTTCACTCAAGAGGGCAGGTTGAAGTTTCTGGGAACTGAATATAGGTGAGAATAACCATCTTAAACAAAGCCTCACCTTGCTAGATTAAGTTTTAGACTTCAGATGTGTGTTTTCACTTTTATTTGCTTGTAACCCTTTCTAACTTTATTCCTTTTACTTGGCATCACTTAACTTATGTCCTATTGTTAATAAATTAGTTCTATTTTTGTACTATAAACCAAAGCAGTGCTGTGTTTAAATGGAGGGGTGGGTTTACCCCAGTTAAGTTAATAAGCTATGAAGTTCTTTTGTGTCTTTAGAGGAACAAGCAAACCTTATTATTTCTCTGAAGCCTCTAGGAGAGGGCTGAACATTGCAGAGCACGTGGTTTTCAGAAAATTCAGGACCAGGAGTATGTTGGGGTCACCTATCAAATAGTAACCAGGACTGGTGGAAGCCAGAGTGGTGCTGCGAAGCTGTAGATAGGCTGCTGGAGTCAGAGCTGCTAAACTAGGTCTGTCTAGTACACAAGCACTCAGGATGTGACCTGCATGCTTGTAGGCTGGTTGTGAGCATCCCAAGTTGGAAGCTGCTACAGCAAAGCATTGTGAAGCACCCAGGGTTACAGGGCAAGTGATGACACACCTTACTTTTCTGGATTGCAACCCCGAATGCTGTCACACTTGCATCTTAATGCAACCAAATGCAAGATCATACATCTGGGTACAAAGAACAGAGGCCATACTTGTATGATTGGGGGACTGTATTCTCAAAAGCAGTGACTCTGAAAAAGACTTAGGAGTTATGGTGGATAACTAATTGAACAAGAGCTCCCAGTGAAAAGTGGTGACTAAAAGGGGTGATTCTTGGATGTATAAGCAAGACTATCGAGTAGGAGTCTGGAGATGGTATTACCTTAGCATACAGCATTGGTGAAACAGTTACTGTGTCCATTCCATTTCTGGTGTCCACACTTTTTTTTTAAAAGAATGTTGAAAAATTGGATAAAGTTCAAAAAGGAGCAACAAGTTAAGAAGCTAAATCTATTAGTTTATCAAAGAGATGGTTAAGAGATGACTTGATCACAGTATATTAATATCTACATGGAGAGAAGAGATTTGGTACTAGAGGGCTCTTTAACCTAGCAGACAAAGGCAGAGCAAGATCTAGTGGCTGGAATTTGGCACATATTTTTAACAGCAAAAATAATTAACCATTGGAAAAATTTATCAAGTGATGTTATGGATTCTCCATCACTTGAAGTCTTTAAATGAAGATCGACGTGTTTCTAAAATATATGGTCTAGTTCAATCCAAAGTCATTGGGCTTGACCCAGTAATTACTGGGTGATATTCTATGGCCTGTGTTATGCAAGAGGTCAGATTAGGGGAATATTACGGCCCCTCTTTTTATTAAAAAAACCAACAAACATACCTATGAATTGAGACTTAATAGGAAAGCTGGGAAGTGGGATGTAATTTGGAGATATTGTGTATATGTATGAGGTGTGGAATTGAAAATAGTGAAGCCGTCGGTGGTCCTGGGGAGAGATGGAATTGGGTTTCAACAGGTTGTTGTATCTGTAAGGATATGACAAGAGCCCAGATGTTTGAGTTTGAGAGGGAAGCAGTTACTCACAGATGAGGTTTAAGTATAAAGTGTAAAATTAAAGCTGAAAAAATATAACAGGAAACTTTGTTTGCATCATTTTTTATGCTCAATGTTTTAAATTAATTTATTACTTAACAGCTTTTCTGTAAATATTCATAGATAAGGTGATGAAACCATTCAGTTGTTTTAAGTACTGGAAAGTAAAAAAGCACACATTGCCTTTGAACATGGTTCATAAATGTGATCACACTCATGCATGTGAATGCTATGATAGCCAAATCATTAGCAACACTATTTCGCGCTCTATCAAATGATTGGTTTCATTAGGGAGTTGCGCCTAAAAGCCATGGCCCAATATTACCCTCCGTTTCTGTAGTTTTGGACTGAGAAGTAACAAATTGCATAAATGGAGAAACAAACTTTTTTTTTTTTTTTTTTGGCTAATGCATTTGTTCTGTCATTAATTAAGCTGAATAAATGAACAAAGAGACTTCTTGAAATGTGATTTGAAAAGTTTACATTATCCATTTAACAAGGAGTCTGGATCAATATCTTGCCTAAAAGGCGATGGTTCATCAGGTATCACTTCTTTAAAAGATCATTGATATGTAGAAACTATTACTAAATTTCTCATTAACTGTTATAATGCATGTTTAATGCAAACAATTACATTTTAATAAATTATCATTAGTGGTGCTTTCAGACATAATAATGATATTTTACATATACCTTTACTTCCTACAATATTTATCTCATTATTGTAGAGAAGTGGAATTAAGATGTAAAGTGTAGAAGAGCATTTTGAACCACACTACTGCCTGCATCCAGGGTGGGTGGTATTTAATCCTAGGTTTTGGTTTGAATCTGTCTCTACTACTGTAGTTTTATTTATTTTTCACCCTTCTGTAATTTGATGAACCAAAATGTAGGATAGTGATATAGGTTACCTAGAACTAAACTACCAATTTTGATTACGCTTCCTTAGCTGTTTTTGTTAACTTTTAACTATAAAGATTTAACTTGATATATTCCAGGTCCCTCCACCATAGACTTTGGTGAAGTTTGTGTGCACTCTGCATCTACGAGAAAAATGCATATCATCAATAATCTGCCTGTGCACATCTGGATACAAGTAGAAATTGAAAGTGAGGAGCTACAGCAGACTAGTCCATTGTCCCATGTGTTGCCACCTCTTTCGAAGACTTACATTCCAGTAGTATTTGAGACTAATACCTTGGGGAAATTTCAGAAGTAAGGCTATTTATTTGCCTCTTGATTTAGGTATTAACCTAGGTGGCAAAGGAAATGTACACATTTTTTCACATAGCTAGTTTAAACTAAATATTATTATAATGCAAGTGCTGATGTTTTGCATGTTATGAGTTGTTATGTAAACACAAAACCTAGTTTTACACTTAAAACTTTTGCCACTGTAATCATGTTAATTAGGGATGAGATTTTTTTTTTTTACTGGCAAAAGTGTAGACACAGTTATACTGGCAAAAAAGTGCTTTTGCCATTATAGCTTATTTCATTTGGGAATATTGCCAGTATAAGCTGTCTACACTAGAAGGATTTGCTGATAGAGCTGTACTGGAAAACCTTTTCTAGTGTATGTGATATCTCAAAATGGAACTCTAACCATACCCATACAGTTGCTAAGGAGGTTGAGTCAAATATTCATGTGCATGCACAGAAGGAAGATAGACACCCAGGCCATCCTTTAAGGCAGTGTTGTTGTAGGTGAGCAGTTTAGGGGTAAAAGATTTCCAGTGTAAAAAGCCCAGAGCGAAGGTAGGAACAAGGAATAGTGGATGAAATACTGGCTCCGTTGACTTCAGTGGATCCAGATTTTCACTCAGTGTTTTGTTGAGGTGTGAGATTACAGGAGAGTCAGAGATACAGAGGTTCAATACAAATGCTTCTTGGTGAAAAAGCAGTGATGCTTTAGCTGAGGTTTCTGCAAGAGGGCATTGTCTGTGTGCAGTTAGTAACCACTTCTGTTTAGGGAAACAGGTCTTGTGTACATTTTGTAAATTAACTACTTACAGTAGAACCTTAGAGTCCGAACACCAGAAGTATGAACTGACCAGTCAACCACACACCTCATTTGGAACTGGAAGTATGCAATCAGGCAGTAGCAGAGACACTAAGAAAAGCAAATACAGGACAGTGCTGTGTTAAACGTGACCTACTAAAAAAACAAAGGGAAAGAATTAAAAAAAAATTTGACAAGGAAAGAAAACTGTTTCTGTGCTTGTTTCATTTAAATTAAGATGGTTAAAAGCAGCGTTTTTATTCTGCATAGTCAAGTTTCAAACTGTATTAAGTCCAGGGTCAGTTGTAAACTTTTGAAAGAACAACCATGACGTTTTGTTCAGAGTTATGAACAACCTCCATTCCGGAAGTGTTTGTAACTCTGAGGTTCTACTGTACACTAAGAAAATAACCTGAGTCTGGGTCACCGGTTTCTTCTCTAACGTGAAGTTGACCTGCAAGGCCCTAGTATCTGATAACGCTCAGCAGAGAAGTGACAATATATTTGACCATTACATTTTAATGAATCAAAGCTATAGAAACACATTTTTTGATAATTTTATGGTTCCTAGCATACTGTAAAGAGCAAAACAATTACAAATAGCAAATTTTTGTAATCCTTTTAATTGAGTATGCCTAATGTATACAATATTTTCACTGGGTATTTTGCTCCTAATGACTATATTTAATGTAACTCTATTGCTGAATATTTTAGTATACATAAAATTTATTGGATCATACGTTTTCTATATTACAGGTCTTTCACTTACACAATAAACAACAAACATACTGGTCATGTGCTGGTAGTTGCAAAAGCAGTGCCAGTTGCCCTTGAGCTATCTGCAAGGGAGCTGATTCTAAATCCAACCCCTGGTTTCCTTGTGGAAACAAGCTTTAGAACAACGGTCAGATTATCCAATCGCAGAAACTGTCTTGCTGAATTCAGTTGGAAACCTATAGTCACAGATAAAGGAATAGCATTTTCTATACGGCCAGCCAAAGGTATAGTATGTTTTGAAAGCTGTTTTAAGCAACATGCAAACAAATGCATGCACACCACATTTTATGATTATCTTAAAGATGGCTGACATCAAATGTCAATATTTATTTGACACAGTAAAATGTTATTTTTAAGGTTTGCATTAATACTACTGGAAGTCAGAACTATGATCAGACCACGAAGGCCATAAAAGCAAGTAAAATTCTGAATTTTTGGTGCCCAGACTAATTTGCTTATATAAGCTCTGGAAATGCACCACAGCCCCATCCTGCTGTTTCTGTGCCCCAGTAAACAGCTCTTCACAGCAGCTCTGCTCTGAGCTCAAGCGTTTAAGCTGCTGACCACGAGAGTGGAATGAGGCAACTATTTAATAGTACACAGCAATACTAAGCAACCATTTAGGATAGGAAGTGACAAAGAAAATCCTATACTGTACATCGAATCCGTGGATGTAAAGCGGATATAAATCTGAGAATTGGAAAAATAATTTCCAAATAAAAACAATAATTTGGGGATGGATTTACATCACTTTTGGTGATTTTTTTTTTTTTTTTTTTTTTTTTTTTTAAATACCCTCCTTTTTAAATAGCACAGGAGTGTGATTCACATGTTCAAAGACTGATAAGTCGTGGATACGTTCTGTTGAAGTATATTGATAAACTGGGTTACGCAGTTGTTATGAGAACTTTGAAGCAAGGTTTAATTTAAACTAGCTAAGTATATTGCTCAGCACCTTTGTAAATCAGGCCAGATGTCGCTAGTAATGTGAACCGGTCAGAAACAGGAAACTTCAAAAATTTTCCAGAATTGTGAATATTTACATATTTATACATATTTATCTAGGTATTGTAGAAGCATACAAAGACCTGGAGTGTGAAGTGGTTTGGCATCCAGGTTTCTGCTCTCCAGAAACAGGAGAATTCAATCTGTGTGTACATCAGGGAAACACACTTAAGCTAAAATGCTTTGCAAAGGTAATATTTAACCCAATGGTTTTGCACATTTTTGGTTTTTATCAACATTTTCTTGATTTAAATTTATTTTAACCTCCCATGTTCTGTATCTTATACATTAATCAAAATAGTAGAAATTCTGTGGCTCATTCTTCCACAGCACAGGCCAGGGTTCCTGCTCCTCCCTGGTTCTGAAACCTAATCACAGTTCACAATTTTCTGGAAACCTAGTTCTGGGAAAAGAAAGGAAAGATCTGTTGTACCTAAATACACCAGATCATGTATCTGGGAGGTTTACAGAACTGCTAGTAATCCTTGCTGAATTAGAAGTGGTGGCTGCTCCAGAAGGGGACAGTCTCTGCTTCCTGGGTCAATAAAGGGTCTATGAAAAGTCTAACTCAGATGAAATCTGTGCTGCTGGGTGAATTTTTAGAGGTGGTTTGATGGTGCCTTCACCAGTAGAACTCTTAGATTCATGCTCCAATGAGGAATTCTTTCTCTAAGAATGATAGCCAATAAGACACATCCTCACATTACATTTTCCACAGGCTCCCTTTTTCTTAGTCAGCTTGGAATGTCTTTTTCCTGCCACTGTTTGGGCAGTTGAATTGGTACAGTTCGTTACAACATGGTCTGTGCTGTAGCCAGGGCTGGCTCTAGGTTTTTTGCCACCCCAAGCAAAAAAACCCAAAACGTCCGAGAGCACAACTGCCGAAGGGAGATGGGTGGGGGGAACCTCCAAGAGCACCTGGAATGCCGCCCCTGAAATTGTGCTGCCCCAAGCACGTGCTTGGTTTGCTGGTGCCTAGAGCCAGTCCTGGCTGTAGCATACTGAGGCCTAGAAAAACAATTCTTATCCCACTCACCTGCTGATTTCTTCTACACAGCAACTGACACTCGCAGTTGCCAATGCCAGCCAACTCGGACTTACAGAGCTCAGGCTGCGGGGCTGTTTCATTGCTGTGTAGATGTCTGGGCTCAGGCTGGAGCCCAGGCTCCAGGATCTTGTGAGGTGGGAGGGTCCCAGAGCTTAGGCTCCAGCCCCGGCCCAGAAGTCTACACAGCAGTGAAATAGCTCTGCAGTCTGAGCCCTGCGAGCCTGAGTCAGCTGGCACAGGCCAGCTGTGGGTTTTTCTTTGATATGTAGACATACCCTAAGATGCTTCATCAGTATAGCACAGCCACCCACCACTTCACTTGCCAGGTGAGGAGGTACCATAGGTTTACAGATTTCTGTCAGATCAGAGATCAACCTACAGAAACAGAGGAGCTGTGGTGGAGGGTATCCGGGACTGTGATTAGATCGTGTCATCTTGCCTGTCAAACAAAGTGAGGAGAGGGAACACATGAGCTGTGCTGTTTTTGACCAAGCCACCAAGCAAACAATTTAGCGGGTAAGCGGGATCATAATTTATTTGTGTTCACATAATTATCTGTGCACTGCATTAAAAAATCGCTCAAAATATCAGCTTTTGCAAAAACTTCATACCTGAATTTGATAGCCATGCGAAACGTAAACAGAAGTACAGTAATATAGCAAAAGTATTAATTTTCAAAGGGAAATAAAACACATTTTGTTATCTTGATAGAGGTTTACTTTTTGATCTAGGTGGTTTGGCAAAAAGTAGATAAATGTTGGTTCCCCTTTACATTCTACTTCACTGTTTAATTTATGCATCTCCACAATTGTCTGGCTTATCGTGAAAACAAAAGAAAATTAAGCTACGTTGAATTATTTGTTTACACTCAGTGTTATTTTATGTTTGCTTTCTTCCTTTCATTGTTGTTAGCTTGGACCTACCAGTATTCAGTTTATGGAACAAAGGATACCTTTCAATCATGCTCCTCTAGGATTAACTACGTGCAAGACAGCCATTCTTCAAAACACAGGACATAATCATGCATACTTCCAGGTGAACTGAATTATGCTGCTGTACAGGTTTTTTTCCCTTGTTTTGGAGAGTTTTTCGTATCTTATTAGAGTTTGTGTTCTCAGTTATTAGATGTGTTCTCTATGGTATACTAATTGATTTCCCCCCCCTTTAGGTAGTTTTAATTTTTATTATACAAAATATAGTTATCCTCTTTAGAATCCTACCCTCTTTAGGGGTTCATGGGACTACTTGACCTAGTTTCTCTTCCTTGTACTATTTTTTAGCTTGCTTTCATTAATAGTGCTGTCTGTATTAGCCCAGGCCCTCCTGACCACATTTGAGTGTAGGATAATATGCTTGTTGTTGCAACACTGTGTTTATTAAAAATAAGGAAGCTTCTTAGGTTTACATGGCCTCTGAGAGGTTAAGTAGAAATGACTGGATAGATAAATTTCCCTTTGCAGGAGTCTTGTCCACATTTCTACTGTGAATAACTTGCAGATAATTTTCACTCAGCTTGTATCTACCATTGGAGAAGATGCTGTATTGGATCTTTTTGGAGTTGTACTAAATCATAATTTTCTAATGTTCAGGAGTGCTCATAAAGAACAAAATCAAGGCCCAAATTTTCAAAACTGGGTTGCAAAAGTTAGTTGCACAATAAGATCTGACAGATGTTCCGCACTTCTGAAAATAAAATCATTTATTTAGGTGTATACATATGGATTTAGGTGCCTAACTGAAAATTTTGTCCTAAACTTTTAGGCCCAGGTTAATCTCAGTCTGATGGTTACATTAACTAAATTGTAAACTCTTCCAGACAGGAAATGTCTTTCCCAAATTCTGTAAAAGTGTACATTTACAGCACTATCAATGTTTTATAATGATTATTTGTATTTGAAGGTTCTTGATTTGAACCCCCTGCCTGGAATGACTATCACTCCTTCTCAGGGGGTAGTACCTGTTGGAGGCCACGCTGATCTCAAAATCGACTTCACCCCCAATGCAGTAATGAAATTTGATACCAGAGTGGAGGTATTAAAAAATCTGAACATTTATGTATTAACTTGTTAAGTGGGTGTGTACATGCATGCCTATCTATTTATCTTGCTCTCCATTAATCCAATCCAACATAATCAAAGGGGTAGCCCTGTTAGTCTGTATCCACAAAAACAATGAGGAGTCCGGTGGCACTTTAAAGACTAACAGATTTATTTGGGCATAAGCTTTCGTGGGTAAAAAACCCCACTCCATGCATCTGACGAAGTGGGTTTTTTTTACCCACAAAAACTTATGCCCAAATAAATTTGTTAGCCTTTAAGGTGCCACCAGACTCCTCATTGTTTTAATCCAACATAATGTATTTTTTTCCTAAAAATGTTGATGATTTGGTACTGCAGTTTTTCAAAATGAATATCTGTATATTTTTCTTAAAAAGCAATTTTTAAACATTATCTTATTATTTTGTATTCAAAAAAGTATACTGTATTTGAGGTGATGAGTTTGTTATGAATACATATGGATGTGAGGAGTGTTCCTTTTTGAAAGTTTTTTGTTGGAATAGAATCAAATGTTTTATCAAAGACAAACCATCCACCATATAAATGGGTTTTCTGAAAGGATTCAAAATAATGACAATTAGAGGAAATACTTAAAAGCTTCACATCTGATTGATTTAGTCTAAGGGCGTGGGTGTGAGATTGATGATAAATTGCCTTTGAGCATGAATTTATCTGTCTTTCCAAAGGGGTGTTTCAAGTTATTGTGTGCCAAGTGATTTTATTTGAAAAACTATTAGAATTTATAGTTTAGCAAAACAAGAAATGGTAGGCCAATCTTAATAATTGTCTCTCTTAATCCCAATTCTGGGATGTGACTTCCACTCTTTTTTAATAACATGGTGTTCTCTGCCTTTCTGTACAGGATGCTGTGATTAAAGACAAGACAAATAATCAGTTATTAATTATAATTATTTTATTAAAGAAAGAAAAAACAAAATGAAACAAGTAACCATTGTTTATGGTTGTTAGTTCCGATCTCTTCTGTATTTCTCTCTGTGGAGAGCTTTTAACAGAGATTACATTTTTGATAGTGGATCTACTCTTGGAGGATACCTCACTCCAAAAATTAAACTAAAACAGGAGTCACTAGTATCATAGATAACTAAAACAATTTATAGGTGGGCAGAAGAATTTAATTGAAGATTTGTTATATCCTGGATAACCTAAACAGTTTCTAAATGAGCAAAGAAGAGTAATCTTAAGTTTTATGAAACCAAAGAGTTTAAATCAGTTACTTAAAAGAAGCCATTCAAGGAGTTGTCTTGAGATAGGCAATTAATGAATATCAAGAATCTTAAATCTGAATTAAATCCCACTATTTATCTCTGTTTATCCAGATGAGTTTGTTTCTTTTCCAGGTATACACAATCCACCATCTTATGTTTAACAAGATCTGATAATCCTAGTAATAAGTCATATTAATATGCTCAATTAGTATCTTAAATTGCAATGGTCTTTCAATATTTCATAAAATCATTACAAGAACAATTTAAATATAATTCCTTGGCAGTGCTTTGGCAAGTTTCATGTCACCCATGATGCTGATGAACTCGTGCTGAACTGAAAGGCTGCTGCTTCTTGATGCTGCTTCATGTTCCTTTCTGCTCTCTGAAAGTTACTGTTGTTAGTTGCTTGTTTGTGTAGATGAACAGGATGAGCAGTGGTGAGTGCTGCAAAGATGAAGGATGGGAGGAGATTTTGAACTGCGTAACCAGCAGCACAGTCTTTCCTTTCCAGTCTATAGTCTTTCCTTCCATAACCTTACTGGAGGAGGAAGGATTCATAATATCAACTGTTGTGGCCCTTTCATTGGCTCAACACCTTAATGGGATTGCCTTGTTTGCCGTTTCAGCTGTACATATGCAGTGTGTTACTACATAGGCAATAGAGTTCTAATTTTTCCTCAACTTGATGGTTATACTGCCTTTACCTTTGTGGCAGGAAATTCTTAACTTGAAAGTTAGGCCTGGTCTGTTGTACCCAGTTAGGTCAATGTAAGGCAGCTTACGTTGATCTAATTGTCAGTGTATGCACTATGGCCTTGTCACACCAATGTAAGTGCTCTACTACACTGACATCATAACTTCTCCTCCACGAGGGGCATAGGGCTTATGTCTGTGTAGTTAAGGGGGGAAGGATAGCTCAGTGGTTTGAGCATTGGCCTGCTAAACCCAGGGGTGTGAGAACAATCCTTGAGGGGGCCACTTACGGATCTGGGGCAAAAATCAGTACTTGGTCCTGCTAGTGAAGGCAGGGGGCTGGACTCGATGACCTTTCGGGGTCCCTTCCAGTTCTATGAGATAGGTATATCTCCATTATTATTATTATAGGGCCACAGTGTCTGTAGACACTGCATTCCTTACATCAGCTGTTGGCTAGCTTGTCAATTTCATGGCTGGAGCCATGAAATTGAGAAGAAAGCCAGGCAGCTAGAGCTGGTCTGCCCCCGGCTTCCCACTCCCAGCCGGGCTGCTGCCTGGAGGCTCCCCGATCAGGGAGCTGAGAAGCCCAGGTGGCTGCTCCCAGCTGGGAGCAGGGAGCCAAGAGCCCAGTGGATTGGGGAGGAGGGGGGGGGCAGCTGGGCTTCTGGAGGGGATCTCCAGGGATGTGAGAGCCCTAGCTCTCAGCTCTCCACAGTGACTCTGTTCAGTTGGTGGAAGCGCTCCTGGTGAGGACGCATACCACCAACTGTAGGAGGGTAGTGTGGACGTCAGCCACCGCAGTAATTTATTGCAGTGTCTGTAAGTCAACCTAACATAGGTCAACTTAGGGCTCTAGTGTAGACATGCCCTTACAGTTTTAATTCGTTTGACTTAGTCCATTTTTTGATATTTTCCTTCAGTGCTGTCCAGGTTTCATAGGAAATGAAATTTTGTTTTAAATAAATCTAAAAAACCTTATATTGTATATAGTCTTTCCGCTCTCAAAGTAATCTTTTTAACCTTAATTCTTAAGGACAGTGACTTTAAATTTAAATAGCCATCCGAGAAGGCATTGTCTCTTCTTAGCAGGCTTTGGAGAAGTACCTCATGTCTTTCTGAGTTTAGTAAATAACTTGCTTAAGCATAGCCAGTTAACTAATTTTCTTATCAATATTTTATACTCGTGTTGCATTCTATTAGTAACTAGATATAGCATCAAATGACCTTGCTGTATTTGTACATAAAACATCTCCTATTCTCATTACAATGACATTAGGAAGTTATTATGAGGCTTGCATTTAGATGCAGATTAACATCACAAAAGAAACTTATTGATGCATTTAAGGAACAAAGGGTTTTCATCTTTAAGCAGCAACATGAATTCAGAAGGTAGAAAAGGCCTTGTACAAATTATTTCTCAACCATAAATGTTCTCCTTTACATTTGAAGAATGAAGACTTTAGATTACCTCTAAAAGAAAATATTTTTAATATTTCTGTAATTCTTTCTGAGGGTTTTAAAACGTAGGCATTGTCTTTGAAAAGGGAAGGGGGAAAGACCCACTTTCTTGGCTTTTGAGAACACAATGTATCCCTAAATATTCTTATAAAATCTGTTGCTTGGGATAAAATTAATCTCTGTGCCAGATTCTGCCTCATACTAGAGGGATGTGCTTTGGACTTTGATCAGACAATCTTGCTGGTATTCTGGCCATTTTGACCCAATGGTTCTTAGGTATAAGATCTGCCATTTGCAGTACATTTACAACTTGCACTTAAAAGCATCTATTATATATTTTATAGAAAAGCATAATAACCAATACTTATCTACATCCTTAAAAACAATGCATACAACATGATAGTCTAGAAAGTTAAAATGGAGATAGACATTCTAAAAGTTGCATTTCAAAGTCTGTATGAACCACTGAGTCAATAAACCTCTAAATGTGTTATCTTCCTTTGACATTTTGGGAGCCTGTCACTATTTGAATGAACTTTTCTTAGGCCTGGTCTACACTACGACTTTAATTCGGATTTAGCTGCGTTAATCCGAATTAACCCTTCACCCGTCCACACTACAGAGCCAGTTAATTCGAATTAAAGGGCACTTAAAATCGATTTCTGTACTCCACCTCGACGAGCGGAGTAGCGCCTAAATCGATTTTGTTAATTCGAATTAGGGTTAGTGTGGCCGCACACCACCGAATTACTGTGTTTAAATTAATGGGGTAGTGTGGCCGCACACCACCGAATTAATGTGGTTAAAAACCGAATTAATGTGCTTAGTGTGGCCGCGCACAATTGAATTTATACAACCTGTTTCCCAAATTCGAATTATCTAAATTCGGATTAATCCCGTAGTGTAGACATACCCTTAGGAATCTCTATAGCATTAACATTTCATATAATTAAATAATCAACTGAAAACATAAAACTGTTATTTCTCTAAGCATTGTGTGTTTTTTCAAAACATTGTTCGTATTTCCTAAATTCAGTAAAGGCCCAGGCAAATTTGTATTGAACCAACATCATAAGAATAAACTATGATAATTTTATTAATCAGTTTTGCATCAATATTGAGGTCTACCACTTACAGTGATCACTTGGTTTGATTATAATTTATTTTAATGGTTTAGGTGAATAAACTCTTTTTAATAAAGAGACTGATAAAGGATATGTTTTAGGATAGAAACTTTCAGTCAGTAAACTAGTTTGCTCCATTTCATTTAGTGCAAAAAATAGCTGCTTGGGCTACACCTGTGGCATGGAAATAGTACTTTATATTTCAAGGCTCTATTCTCCAAGCACAGGGTACAAGTAAGTCACACAGAAAACAGTGGAAGTGATTTGTATTCTGTGGTGGGAGACTGGAGCACTGGGCTCAGTTCTTACGTCTACTCTCATGTTCTCTAGAGTGACAGGGCTTAGATTACTGAAGAGTGTTTAGATTATTTGTCTCCTGTTTGTATGCATCGCAAGGAAACTGAGTTCTGAGAGTGCTTCATTATAAAGGTTGATTTGAGATTAGGGATGCAACACATACCTGATCTGGATTTGATTTGTACAGGAGTCTGATAAGTTTGCTGGATTCATCTTGCATCAAGAAAAAAATTCAGATAATTTTTAATGGATGCTGTCATGTAGCCAGACCTGGCCACACCTTCTGATCTCACTACTGTTTTCTCCACTTGCTGTTGTTCCCTAACACCATACTACTAAACCCAACATCCACCCACTCCTTTCCACTTCCGCTACTTCCTGAGGTAGCTGCAGCACTTCTCCTGACCTAGCTGTAATACCTGTTTCTTTCCATTGTGGCTTGTCTCAAGAAACCTACCTACCGGTTCCTACTCACACTGGACAGATTTCCTCCACTCAGCTCCCACCTGCCATAGAAAACAACTGTGTACTCCCTCCTGTATTGCTCTCTCTCCTGGCTGCAAAGAGCTGCTCTTTTCTTCAATTTGGTTCCCTCCTTCAGTACTGGCTATCATTATCCTGCTTGGTATCCATCAGAGGTGCTACTTTTACCCAGTGATTCTATAACCTACTGGAATCATTGCATGTGTATATTATAGAAATCAATAAAGCATTTTTAGACTTCATTATATTATTTTCATAGCAAAATAACTTTAGAACTTTAGAACATCTTTTCATGGGAACCTATGCAGTAGAATTCTATGGCTGTCTTTCTGTTGTCTATTATTTAAAGCTGTCTTATTTTAAATGGTCATTTACTATACAGTACATAATATAATGGAACAGTTGTAATGGCAAAGTAATGTAATAATTACAATGTTGACAATTTTACTTTTCTTTCAACTAGGTAGCCATCCGCCATGGAAAAGTATTGGAATTTAGGATTGGTGGATCTGTAGAGGCCCCTGAAATAGGCATTAGTGTAGTAAGTATAAGGTATCTTTTATTACACTAATTATTAGTTCTAGGTAAGATTTGTAGTTGTATTTAATTATTACTTTTGTAGTCAGGTGTCAGAATTTTCCTTCCTTAGTTATTCACATTTTTTCAGTTTATTTTTCTATAAATTATTTCACGCAAAGGGACTGAGGAGAATGTGAAGAGAGATTAAAAATTAAATATACCTGTGGCAGCTGAGAGATTTAACTGTCTAAACACACAGTATGTAAAGGTTACAATGATGAAGGAAGGAGAAGAGGAGAAATAGAATGAAATTAATTAATTGAAAAATGATACTCCATTTGAAAAATTTCACTAGTGGTGCAATCAATGGGATTATAGCAGTAGTTCCTAAACTGTGGTCTTTGGCACCCACAAAAGACCTAGGGCCAATAAAGGAGCTGGATAGGCAGTTGGTGAACTGAGACTTCCAGTTAATGTAGGATAACTTATGGATCTCTGAACTGCAGTATTTTTAAAGTACTCTCCAGGTATACATATGACCTTATAATGCTCTTACATTGTTTGTTTTTTCTTAAACTTAACAGGAATCCTTTAACTTCCATGGTGTTTATGCTGGTTCCACCCAAGGAATTCCCTTTTTGCTTCAGAACAAAGGAGTAGCACGAGCAAGGGTGGAGTTTGATTTATCCAAATATAAAGACTTTACACTGAACTTCAAAGACCAGTCAGGTATTTTCTTTTGTTATTTCAGAATTGTAATTAATAGAAACATATGATAGCAGTAAAGGAAATCCAAGCTGAAAAGTTCTTCTCGTATAAAAATCTTACTGAGTCACTGTTGTACAGAAAGTTTAAAGGCATAGAGTAAAGTAGTTGCTATTTCTTAGCTTTTAATATAAATTAAGAGATGATACTATTCCTGTAAAGTGACATTAGTTTTACCTTGCCTGGACTACTTTTTATATACAATACAAGACTGTGTTCCACAGAAATGATACAAATGCATTGGAGATAATGCTAGAGAAGTGTCAAAAATCTAAGTTATAAGCCAAGTTATTTTTTTAACAAGCATAAAATAAGGTTATGTTATAGTCCTGTTCTTGATTCCCTCTTAATGTGAAGATGGATTTCTAGCATCATGCTAACTTTTCAACCTTGTACCTATCCAGTTGAGGTTTTTTCTCACAAAATGAATAATGAACTATCTGAGTTTGTACTTGGCTTAAATTTAAGACTTTAGCGATATCCCAGAACTGTGTTTTAATACTAATTTCTACAGTAATATTGTCATGAAAGAGACTGTGTTTTACTTTTAGTGGATGTCTGTTGTACCTGTCTCGGCTATGAGATGGCTGGCACACCTGCAGTTGTGTATTGCCTTTGCTTATGCTCGTTAGGGCAGAGCAACTTCTGTTAGTGGCAGGGGAATTTGCACTCAAGACAGCCACATGGTAGCATTACAGCTGTACCACTGCAGTGTTTCAGGGTATGTCTACACTGCAATGTAAGCCCGGATTAGTGGGGCATTGACTCCTGTTAGGAAACCCTGGTCTTGGATGTCTACGTTGCATTTAAATCCTATGTTAAGACTCCCCCCTTCCCACCCCCCCATGCTCAAACCTAAGGCTTTGTGCACAGACCCAAGTCAAAGTAATGATATTCCAGAGTCCTTAGTGCCCCCCCCAAATTGTGGCCGCTTTAGCTCTAGGACTGTGGTGCACTGTGGGAAAACTTTACTGCCTGCCCTGCACGTTACAGGAAGTTTGAACAGCTCACCAATGCCATTGCAAACCCAGGAGGCTCTCTGATAGTGTGCTTGCATATCGGTGATCAGAAGAGAATGGGTTAATGGTGACCTACGTTCCCTGTAAGCTGTGTGGCCGTGCAGCAGCCTATTTAGTGCCGTGCAGGCACTCAGGGAACTTGCCCAGCCATGGTGGGGGCTGGGGGAGGGGCAGCCCCCAATGCAGCCCCAGCTGGACCTGCCACGGTGGCTGGGGGCAGGGCAGCCCCAACGCATCTCCGGCCGGACTGCTGCGGTGGCTGAGAGGGGGCGGCCCTAACACAGCCCCGGCCGGGGGAGGGGCAGCCCGAATGCAGTCCCAACCCAGTCCCGGCCTGGACCTGCCGCAGCTGGGGGAGGGTCGCCTATCCCGTGGCCCGAGCCGCTGCAGCCGGGAGAGGGGGAGAGAGGGAGAGATCCCGCTGTAGCCCCAGAGCACCCCCTCATCCCTGGCCCCACCTCAGTGCCCTCACCCCTATCCTCTGCCCCAGCCCCTCATCCCCTGCCCCATCCCCCCCACGCACCACAACCCTTTGCCTCAGCCCTGAGCCCCTCATCCCTGGCCCCACCCTGGAACTTTCACCCCCTGCACCCCATCCCTCTTCCCCAGCCCTTAGCCTCCTCCCACACATCACCTCCATATTGGTGCACTCTGTCTTTTATCTGCATCCTCACCGCATCCGCAGCAGCATGCTATCTCACAGTGCCTCTCAGGAGGAGTGTGTGTGTGTGTGTGCACATGTGTGTGTACTATATAAGAAAGCTATATTGTTTAATAAATGTGCACACTGTTGTTGTTGTTGTTGTTTTAAACATCAATCTTATTATACAACAGGCATCAGAACAAATAACCTTTTATATTAAAAATAATATAATGTCTCCAGCCAATAATGCTCAAAATCACAACTGAACTATAAAATAAAAAAAGTCTGCTGCCTATTTAGCTTGTGATTTATAAAGTCATCACACTTAGAGCTCAGCAATCCCAGTTTTTGCACCAGCTCTTTGACTTAAGGTTGGTTTCCCCTTGTGTGTTGAGGAAATTAGCAGTGTGTTTCCATCCAGATTCCTGCCTTTATCACTCAGGGTTTGCAGTCTTCTCCCAACAGCTGGGATGTCAGGGGCTGAGGAGGGAGCCTTTGCCTGCTTGTCCTGTAACTGTCAGTCTCCAGGCTTCCTGCTCAACACTTCTTGCTGTGGTCTGCAATATGCTATTGATTTAAAGCCCCACTGAGGGTCTCAATCAATAAAACTGTTCGCTGCATGTGGTGCAATGTTTTACCAGTGAGAAAAGAAAGCCATGAGTACTAGCAGGGCCAGCTCTAACTTTTTTGCCGCCCCAGGCAAAAAAAAGAAGAGCGCCACCCCGCTGTAACACCTCCCTCCCCCCAGCGCCGTGCCGGGCCGGCCAAACCCCCCCCCCGCCCCCCTGGCCAGCACCTCGCGGGCCGGCCAAACCCCCGCTGCACGTGCTGCCCAAACCCCCGGAGCGCCGCGCCGTGCCGGCCAAACCCCCGCGCCCCCGCCCCCAGCGCCGCACCGAGTCGCCGCAACACCCCCTGCGCTGTCCGGCCGGGGGGAAAAAACCCACCACGAGCGCCCCTCGCCACCCCAACATTGGCTGCCCCTTCTAAGATGCCACCCCAAGCATGTGCTTGGTCAGCTGGTGCCTGGAGCCGGCCCTGAGTACTAGTTCCTCTGGCAAGCTGCTTGGGTTTTTTAATTGATTACAGATTTCCCCCCTCCCCCAAAAAACAAACTAGGTTATGGGATTATCTGCATCGCCTAGTGTGAGTTGCTGATAAAGAGGTAACTGAAGCTGATGATACTCTCAATAGTCCAGATAATGCAAGGGACAGAGTGTCTGTTCTCCTTCTGGAAGCATGCAAGGGGAATACTATTGCAAGGCTACAGAGCTTAATTTTTGCTTGGGTTGAGCCCTGGCACGTCTCGGCTTGGCAAGTCACCCTCTGCGCCACCCTAAGTGTATGTGTGGGGGGAGAGGAGCAGCGATAGCAGGTGCTCAGTGACTTCAGGTCCGTTTCCCCATATGGGCACAGGACGGGGGTCCAAGAGTTAGGGATGAGGGGCGAGTGCAGGGTTGAGGGGCATAGGAGGGCGGTAAAGGTGCTCTCTGGCTGCCCAGCCAGTGCTTAATTTGTACCAGGGCTTGCCAAGGCTGAGTCCTGAAACCTTGTTCAATACAAATTAAGCACTTCAAGGCTATCTACCTGCCCTGAATTGTGCTGGTCCCAGGCAGGAAAGAAGGACGCCTGCCTGTGTATGCAAAAGCTAGCCTGCTTGTACTATCTAACTGGGTGAGACACTGTGTGATTCAAATCCTAACGAGTACATTAGGCTTAGATTGTGGTTTTGTTTTATTTCTTATGGTAATCTACTTTGATCTGTTTGTTTGCTATCACTTACCACTTAAAATCTATCTTTCTGTAGTTAGTAAATCTATTTTGTATTTTACCTAAAACACTTTGCATTGTTTGAAGTGCAAAGAGAGAAGTCTCAGCTCAGAAACAAGTGTTAGTGCATGTCCACTTTCCAGGGCCGGCTCTACCATTTTTTGCTGCCCCAAGAATGGACGGAATGCCGTCCCTTAGCATGTGCCGCCCCAGGCACATGCTTCCTCTGTTGGTGCCTGGAGCCGGCCCTGCCACTTTCCTTTGTAGAAGTGGCGGACTGGGTAATAAATTTCATACTGAGGTTTTTGACCAGGGCAGGATGGTTCAGGGGTCCTAGGCTGGGGAGCTGTGGGTATTTTGGCTATAGCCTCTCTATTGTGGGTTTATGAGTGGCTGGAAGGAGCATTCATGAACACATCTGGGTGTGGTCCCTGCCTGTGGATGTTGGTGAAAGCTTGAAGGGCTTTGCAGCTTGTCACAATACAAGAGGGAACCCAGATTGGTGAGACAGAGGGCTCAGCTGTACCTGAGTACCAGGTGGCACCCCAGGGGGCACCCGTCACACACTAGATGCAGGGATGGAATGCACAAACCGTGCAACTTGATTGGAAGGGGAAAGTTGTGCTTGTATAACTGCTGAAGTGGTGGAGACCACACATCTTCATTCTTTGTCAGTTTCATCATTATCACTTCCACAATCGCTATCTGAATCCTCAAACTCTGTATGTGACTATTGTGTCTCCTTTGGTGATGGAGTCTGTGTAACTGACGAAAGAAGCATAAGATTCACTTCAGGAATATTTTTCTCCTGCAATAAGACAAGCTTCTTGGTTTCTTGATAAACTTCCTGTCTCTCCTCTTCACTGAAAACTTTCATCTCCTTCATTTGTGGGTGCAGGAAAACTGCTACCCTGTGCATAGGCTTGATTTCAATCTTTTTGATGAGACGTTGTGAAGCTTGGGATTTGAGTTGACTTAGACTGTTTACATCAGTGGTAGAAGGATGGAGATGCTTTTTCAGCCTTTTGTGCCAAATGGGCACCAAGAGGAGAGTGGGCTGTGACTGCTCTAGTGCATCTGACGCTTCCTTGCAGGGCTGCAGGAACTCTATTACAATGCTCAAGGTCTAGTGGTCTATGCTATCAATGAGCTGAGTATCTCTCTTTTCTGTCAAAATTTCATATATTCTGTCCCATTGCTCCTCTGTTGTCTTAAACATGAATAGTTTGCTGTTCCGTCATGTTTCTACATCTCCTTTCAGAGACTTTTTCCGTCTGTTTTTGAAGTCCAGATCTCCCGAAGTAAGTAATGAGATTTCAGCATGCGTGGATCAGTTAGGTTACTGCTTCCTCTTTTTGGTTTCCCAGTTTGGTAGTATGATCAAGTGTGGTATTTATAACGTGTGCTGAGCACCTTATTCGCACATAGGACTTGAGCGATGCAACCATGTTCACTCCCTGGTCCATAATGAAAACCATCTGGTTGGTAATACTGTGTATATCAAATCTTCTGAGTGCCTGAATAACAGCCAAAAGAATGTTCTCCGCAGTTTTTGATTTCCTACTGTCATGCTGAGTCACACAAACCACCTGTTCCACCAGTCCGAATTGTTGTGGCTGTAATGAACAGTTATTCCCAAATAGGCAACCTTTCTGTAGTCATCTGTCCAAAGATCGAGGGTAACCCCTCCACCCACTGTGCCAAGAATGTTTTTCAGCTCCATGGAGATTTTTTTTTTTCTTCTGCCACAAGTGCAGCATGCTGAGCTAATGTTGTGGAATGTGGTATTAGTGCATGTGCATCCATTTGACCATATTTGGCACCTGTGTTAATCAAACATTGAAAATATGCAAGGAATGCCTCACCACTGACTACCTCAAAAGGTCTTATGTCTGTTGCTACAGACTTCAGTAATTCCTGAGTCACAGTTGGCTTTTGCTCAAATTGTGCTTTCACAAATGCATAGGGCAAGACACATAAACGTGAGGGCTAAATTTGGCCCTGGATCTCTCCTGTACTATGGAGATCCCTCTCCAGTAGATTTCATTTCCCTTAGGAAGAAGTGATGGTGTGCTTGCTGAATTTAAATGGGTTTCTAGGTTGTATGTTCCAAATTGCAGGGCTGTGTCGAGGTACAGCGAGCATGGCATAGTGAGAGGTTTGGACTTCCATCTTGTCTGGAAGTAGGATCTCAAAGGCGGGAAAGAAGCTGTCTGCAGCTCATAACTTATGAGGCTGCTTCCCCGCTTTCAAGATCCTACATTTCCTCTCCCTCCGGATACAGAGTAAGGGAGGTGATAGATCAGGACAGGGAGCAAAATTCCCCATGTTCCTATCACTGCGTTTTAAGCAGCCAAGCAATTTAGGAAACCCCTCCTGAGTTCATTGCTTTATCAGGTCTGTTGGAGAGGGAGGCAGCTGCTTCTGCAAAGCAAGTAAGCAGGAAGAACAGGAGTACTTGTGGCACCTTAGAGACTAACAAATTTATTAGAGCATAAGCTTTTGTGGACCACGAAAGCTTATGGTCTAATAAATTTGTTAGTCTCTAAGGTGCCACAAGTACTCCTGTTCTTTTTGCGGATACAGACTAACACGGCTGCTACTCTGAAACCAAGTAAGCAGGGAGGATTTTGCTGCTTGTCTTGCTCTTTCACCCCTCTCCCCTGCCCTTTCTCTGTATATAGCGGGGAGAGGGAATGTAGGATCTTGAAGGCAGGGAAGCAGCCTCATAGGCTATGAGTGGCAGATAACTGCTTCCCTGACTTTGAGATCCTACATTTAGAGCCCTGCATGGATACAAAATTTGTATCTGCATCCGATCCATGATCTACAACAATGGTCCATGGATGTAGATATACATGGATTTGCAGGGCTGCCGTTTGCAAAGGGGTGTGTCTTCCATTTTCAGTAGAGTGGATTGAAGATTATTGGGTTACAGAGGACTAAGGAAGTTGTCCCATGAAATTGTGGGATACTTCTGGATGACTCCCAGGACCTGCGTCAAGTGGGACTGCATCTACGCTGCAAAGCAATAGGTCTCGGACTCTGGATCCCAGCTTGAATCGAGCTTGGACCCTCCAGCCCTGCAGTGTCCTGGGACCCTGGGTCCAAGTCCTGGGTTAGTGCAATTACAGTGTAGATGCAAGGGGGGGTTAGGCTTGAGCCTGGGCTCATGCAAAGGCTTATGTTGCAGTGTAGAAATATCCTCCATGTAGACACTCGCTACAGCAATGGGAGGGGTTCTCACGTCACTGTAGTTAGTCCACCTCCTGGAGAGGCGGTAGCTAGGTTGACTGAAGAATTCTTCTGTCAACTTAGTGCTGTCTACACTGGGGGTTAGGTTGGCTTAACTGCATTGCTCAGGGGTTGGATTTTTCATGTCCTTGAGTGACATAGCTGGGTTGACCTAACTTTTTAGTGTGGTCCTGGCCTCAAAATCCTTCTGGGGAAAAAAAAAACCTGATTAATGTTATGACAATGAAAAAAGAGTTTAGAAACACCAATGAACCGTAATAGCCCAATAACATAACAGCAGAAGGATATTTATTTTTCATATGTTTTTCTTTTCTTTTTTTTAAATATAAATTTTAATAGGCTTGTTGGGGAGCTTCCTTCTTATGTAATCCAGGAACTAAATGGTGGAAGTTCTAGAGATTCAGGCATAAACAGTTGGCATGTGCATGGGGTATGTCATGCATTGATTCCAGTACCACCGTTTTAGAGAGTAGACAGGAAAACCTTTGAGCTAGGATTAGACTGTATCTTACAAGTAAGAAATAGTGAATTCAGCTATAATACATTACAAATAGGGCTGTTGCACGATTAAAAAATTAATCGTGATTAATCGTGCAATTAAAAAAAATAAATGTGCAATTAGGGCTGACAAGCAATAAAAAAAATTAATGGTGCGATTAATCAAATTGCACGATTAAACAATAATAGAATACCATTTATATAAATATTTTAGGACGTTTTTCACTTTTTCAAATATATTGATTTCAATTACAACACCACGTACAAAGTGCACAGTGCTCACTTTATATTTCTTTTTTATTATAAATATTTTCATTGTAAAATAAGTGTTTTTCAGTTCACTTAATATAAGTACTGTAGTGCAATCTCTTTATGTTGAGAGTTGAACTTACAAATGTAGAATTATGCACAAAAAATAACTGCATTCAAAAATAAAACAATGTAAAACTTTAGAGCCTACAAGTCCACTCAGTCCTACTTCTTGTTCAGCCAGTCACTCAGATAAACAAGTTTGGTTACATTTGCAGGAGATAATGCTGCCCGCTTCTTGTTTACAGTGTCACCTGAAAGAACAGACGTTCACATGCTATTTCTTTATCATTTTTATGGTCCAAATATTTGTAATAAAAATAATATAAAGTGAGCACTGTACACTTTGTATTCTATGTTGTAATTGAAATCAATATATTTGAAAATGTAGAAAAACATCAAAAATATGTAATAAATTTCAATTATTGTTTAACAGTGCGATTAATCACGATTAACTTTTTTGAGTTAATCACGTGAGTTAACTGCGATTAATCGACAGCCCTAATTACAAAGGAAATTATATCTACCCTATATTGATAATCAGTTTGTAGTATGGTAGCTTTTGCAAAGGTTTGAGTATACTATTGTAACACATAACTATCTCTGTATTTTGTTTGACAGTGGTTGATTATTATCCTCCGAGGCCGTATTTGTATTCTGTGGTGGTAGAGGGGAAGTCAACTCTGCAATGTTTGTTGTACTTCACACCAAAAGAAGTAAGTTTATAAGGCAGTAGTAATAACAATACTTTTAAAGAATGCATTTAATATGTTTTCTAAGATTAGAGAAAATAAACATCCTACATATTTTGTGTAACAAAAGTACTAAGTAGTTAAAACCAGCAAATATTTAAACCATAGTGGCCTTGGAATAGTTTTGAGAGAATAATGTCGTTGTTAAGAAAATAAATTCTGAAGTCACGTCTCTGTAACTTTTCACTTTGTTCTTCATAGTTATATGAAAAGTTTAAATCTATTGCTCCAAGCACTTTTTAAAAAAAATGTAAAATATGCACAATCAAAGGGGGCGGGGGAAGAAACGTGTCTCAAAACATCAGCCTCCTCCAACAAATTGCCCAACAAATTTGCTGTCATCACAACTCTTACCTCCCTAAATGTCTATGAAAATGCAGTTTTGCAACATGCCCTAAAAGTGGAGAAATTTGGCGTCTGATGGACTCGTTTGAAGAAAGTGAATTGCAGATTTGAGTAGCTCTCATGGGCCTGTTCTGCATTAGAAAAATGACCCATTAGGTGCGGATGATAAAGTAATATAACCCATGTTCACACTGCTTTAGAAACGGAGGACATTTCTACACAGCAACTAGACATCCGAGGCTGGCCTGTGCCAGCCGATTTGAGCTTGCAGGGCTCTGGCTGCGGGGCTGTTTCATTGCTGCATAGAATTCCATGCTTGGGCTGGAGCCTGGGCTCTAGGACCCTGTGAGGTAGGAGGGTCCCAAACTTGGGCTCCAGCCCGAGCCCAGAAGTTTACACAGCAGTGAAACAGCCCTGTAGCCCCAGGCCAGCCACAGCTTTTTCTTTGCTGTCTAGACATAGGCTTCATATTCTCAATCTTTGGGAAATAGTGTCTTATACTTGCTGTAACTCATGGATTTTAAATATCTAGCCCAAAGAGATATAGCGCGCGCGCGCACTCTCTCTCTCTCTCTCTCTCTCTCTCTCTCTCATATATGGTCTGTGTGGCATACTTGTTTGTTCAGAATCTAAGCTTTCATTAAAAAAAAACAACAAATAAATAAATAAATTCTAGTCCTCAGAGTTGCCAAGAACCTTCCAGACATAAACTGATAGTCTTATCCTGAATTTGCAGACAGGCTGACACAAGGACAGGGGTGTGAACTCCCTTGCCCCCCCCATTAATCTCACAGAGGTATCGACTCTAAAGCCCAATGACGACATGTTAATGTCAACACTATTATTTAATTAGTAATGATGTTAGTGGATAGAATGAAGGAGGGGGTGGAAGTAGAGCCCATAGAGTTGAGAATTTGCTGCGGGGAATAACAGAGGGGGTGATAGGACAAGGAAAAGGAAAAGAAAGAAGATGGAGAAGGAAGAGAAACAAAGGGCAGAAGTATTTAGTCTTACAGGTGAGCATACTGATACTGAATGCCAAAACAAGATGCTGAACACATGATATATAACAGCCACAAAATATAAAGGCCAATAACTCTGGATCTTTGTGCAAGCATCTTGTTGACTTTGGTGAATGTTTGCTGTGGATTGAGGAAGTAGTATATAATCTGTGTTTATAAACTAGCCTACTAACCATAATTGAAAATGGAATTTGGCCCTCTCTACTGAATGAGTTTGTTCTAGCCTTTACAAGTAAAACAGTGGTAGATTCCTTATGCATATAACGTGTGTTTTCTATTGATGGGGTGAATAAGGCCTGGTCTACCCTTAATGAGATCCTTCCTTAGAATTCTTCCATCAACCTAGTGACTGCCTCCTGCTTATATGGATTAACTACATAGATGAAAAAACCCCTTCTGTCCATGTAGGAGCCATCTGTACTATGGTGCTACAGTGGCTACAGCGTCGACATCCTAAGACGCCAATATCCTGGAAAATCTCTCTGCTTTTACCAAGGACCATTCTGAAGTTACCAAACCTCCTATGGTGAAGCTAATTTGATTTTTTTGCTATTTTGTGCAATTGGTCACATTCAATTTATCCCCTGAGATTTAGTCTAACATCAGTCAACCCCCCTCAGGACTACCTTTTCAATTACAGACATGGTATGCTTCAGAGCTATATCTTACATAGAGTTAGTGTGAGATTATCATTTCTGTATGTCTATTTAAAGTTTTGTTCACTTATTTTTACAAAGGTCCCAAAGGGACTAGCATGCTTCAGTATGTCTATATACTCTGTGGGTATGTCTACACTGCAGAGAGACATCCCTGGCTGGCGCATCAGCTGACTCAGTTTTTCAGGTCTTAGATTGTGGGGCTGTTTAAATGCGGTGTAGATTTCTGGGCTGGAGTCCAGGATCTAGGACCCTGTGAGATGGGTGGGTTCGAGAGCTCGAGCTGAAGTCTATGTTGCAATTAAATAGCCCTGCAGCCCGAGCCCTGGGAGCCTGAGTCAGCTGGCATGGGCCAGCTGTGGGTTTTTATTTGAAATATAGACATATCCTATGAGTGAAATCCTGGCCCCATTGAAGTCAGTGGCAAAACGCCTGTTGACTCCAGTGGGGCCAGGATTTCATTCAGTTTTTTCTAACTGCTGATTTTTTTTTTTTTTTTTTTTTTAAATGTGCCTGATGCAAATCAATGAAATTGCATCCTGCATAAGTGAGCACAGATTTAGGGTCAATTTTTAAAACAGGTTGTTTGTAGAAGGGGTGAAGCTGAATTTCTGGAAACTTGGGAAAGGATAAAATAGTATAGGCTATGTAAAACAAAATGGGAAAAGAGACTGACTGAGCTTTCAGTGTGTAGGGGTATATTCTTAATTTTGCATTGGCAAGCTTGAAGATATGCTCTTTTATCTTACCAGTAAGATCCCTTGACATATACATTTCATTTACAAGGGCATCCTTTTGTAACTGCATTCTCTTGGAAACATTTTTCAGTTTAAAATCACCATTAGTGATCAAAAACTTTTTTATATGTGTTCTTCCTCCTACTTGAAAAGCTGTCTTCATTAATAAGAAGCAACAAAGTAGTGTCCCATAATTGTTAATTTAGATTTTATTATAATTAAGGCTAAGATTTAGTCATGGGCATTTTTAGTAAAAGTCATGGACAGGTCACGGGCAGTAAACAAAAATTCACGGCCCCATGACCTGTCCATGACTTGTACTATAAATACCCCTGACTAAATCTTTGGTGTTCTGGGCAGCTTCGGGGGCACAGCTGCTGTTCTGGAGGGCGGTCTCTGGGGTGCCCGCTGGTGCTCGGGGGAGAGGGGCAGCCCGGGATGGATGGAAAAACATATTAACTAGTAACTGTAGAAAGTTCTCTGAATGTCGAGAGGTTCCAAGGTCTTTGTTTGGGCTGCTTCCTCTTCTGTGGGCTGGAGTCTCTGCCTCTGGCTCCTTTCTCTGCAGATTTCCCAGGGGTAAGGGGAAGGAGGTACCACTTGGGCCTAATGCCCCCAGAGTGTGTGTGTGTGTGTGTGTGTGGGGCAAGGGTGCCAAACCTTTGTAGAAGTGGGGGAGAGGGCAAGGCCAAGGTGTCCCCTCCCTCTCTGTGGCTGGCTGCTCCAGCAGTGAGCCGGCTGCCCTCTCTTCTGGCACCGTAGCAGCCCATGGTAGTTGGAAGGTGTAATTGCAGTGCCTTCCCGGCAGAATCTATTATTTTGAGCGGGGCAGGGGAATATCTGCAGGGGATATATCTGCGAGGGACATGAATTCTGTGATTGTTTCTTTTGTTAAAAAAGTGGGGGGAGGGGGCTATGGCTCCCTGGCCTCCCCAGTTCTGGTGTCATGGTGTGGGGTGTTCTCTGCATGGTTCTGGTCAAGAGGCAGCTGATTTCCCTCTTTCTGTTTGAGAAGGAAACGGTTTCCTTTTGAAGGTTTTGCTCTGTGTGGGGATTGGGATGCAGGGGAGAGTGATTGTACCATTAATATTTTAGTTCACTTAAATTTTTAGTGTAAAATGAAATATATATTTTTTAATTTGTCTGCCCTTGACTGTCTATGGACTTCTATTAAACAATTATATATATATATATATATATATATATATATATATATATATATATACACACCTGATAACCGATAACAATTTCACCTCCAGGTTCTAAATTTAGACCGACTTATCTTAAAATGAATTAGCTCAAATCCTGTCAAGTATTTGATAGAAATACTTGGGGCTACAGTTTTAATGTTGTTTTTTACTCAGCTCAACAGTCTGAAAGTACATAAGTGCATCTATAACTGAAACACATTTGTCTTGGGTACAGCTATCATCAGAAATCTGTGCTGGCAGCTCTCCCCCCTGCTTCTGACATGGAACTTGTGTGAGGTAGCATTGCAGCATGAGGGCCTGTTTGCACTCTCTAGGACAGTGGCTCTCAACCTTTCCAGACTACTATACCCCTTTCAGGAGTCTGATTTGTCTTGCATACCCCGAAGTTTTACCTCACTTAAAAACTACTTGCTTACAAAATCAGACATAAAAATACAGAAGTGTCATTGCACACTATTATTGAAAAATTGCTTCCTTTCTCATTTTTACCATACAATTATAAAATAAATCAATTAAAATATAAATAGTACACTTACATTTCAGTGTATAGTGTATATAGAGCAGTATAAACAAGTAATTGTATGAAATTTTACTTTGTACTGCCTTCACTAATAATGCTTTTTATGTAGCCTGTTAAACTAGGCAAATATCTAGATGAGTTGATGTATCTCCAGAAGACCGCTGAGTACCCCCAGGTGACTCCTGCCCCATGCTTTCTTTAGCCACCGAAGATAGACCATTCTTTTTCTGATGGGGGGTGGGGGTGGTAAGGAGGCCAAGCATCTCTTCCCAGAGTACTTCAAGATTATTCTGATTTTTAATTATTTAAAAGGAACCTACCCAAAGGAGGACTTGAATGTGCAACCCAGCACTCTAGTCCCAGTACCACAGTACTTGCTGTGGTAACTTTTTCCCTGTGGCAAATCCTAGGGTGGATTAAGGGAAGAAGTGCTGATACTGACAGTGCTAGGTGGTGCAGTGATAAACTTGGTGCACATGCACAGAGGGGTCTGTGCTAGTGGCAGAAAGAACTCTGAACATAAAGCTACTGTATTTAATTCATTGTAATATTCAATTACAGTTGTCACCTGAATTGTTGTTCAGTGTTACTGAAAAGTGATTTTTAATATTTGTTCAGACTGTGCTATCGCTTTATTACAACTGTTGCCAGCAATTGATATAATTTGTGATATTAGCAATAGGAGTACTTAACTGAAGAGTCTATAGCAGTTTTCATTCTGCTTTAATAATGGTCTAGCTGTTGGAAGAAAATCTTATAATATGTAATTAAACCTTTTGTTGTTTCATTTTTAGATTATTAAACCCTTATTAAATATATGAGAGTTAAAGGTTATAGTCTCCTCCATTGGATTGTCACATCTCATGTCAAACGTATGACATTTCAGAAACATGGATGTATCTATTGTTTATCATTTAAGTGCTGACAGTGTGCTCTGCACTGTACATGGCACACAGAAACACAACTCCCAAGCCCTTTATTCACACAAGTAATCTTTGAATTCATTGGCGGTATTCATGGATACAGGCTACTTGATTAAAAAATAGGGCTGGTTAGGAAATAGTTTGGGTTTTTTTTAATGGAAAATTAAAAAAAACAAAAGTTTTTGACTGGAAGGTTTTCAGCGTCTGTTTTGTCAAAGAAAAACCAAAGTTTCCCATGGACAGCAGACACTTTTTGCAAAAGTTTTTTTATTTAGTTGAAAAGCCCAGTTTTCTGTTGAAAAACCACTTACATGGAAAATTCTTGATCAGCTCTAATAAGTAAAGATTTACAAAATCAGGTGTTGAGTGAGGATCAGAAATACCAGTAGTAGATGCAACCGGAGGTTCACAAATTATGTATGTTTAAAAGTGCTTCCAGCCTTGTCACCTTTTAAACTATAGAGCCAAATGTTTGCAAAAATGATGCTCAAGACTGGAATTAATAGGGGTGTTGCAGAATTAAAATCATAGAATGGTGATCATAGTGAGTGTGTAATTTTTAATGATTTTATAGGGAAACTAGCCCAAGGGAAACTTAAGTTTATAAACAATTACCAGGTGCTGCTTTCATGAGCTGAGTTTTTATTTTAATGTATTCTTTTTCATTTTATCTTCATTTTATTTCTCCCCTCACCCTCTCAGTCATTCTGTGTAATTGTGCTATACCGTCAGAGCAGCTATTTTGCAGTGAGTATATTATTGTCTACCTGGCAGGGGGCAGTTCACTCATTACAAGGCAAGGCATGCTAGAATATGCTTAAAATATACAACCCTCTGCTGGTTGCAGGCTGGCAGTTAATGCAGTAGCTGATAGCTGGCAGCAATAGCACTGACTGATGTTAAATGGAGACAATTTTGAAAACTCTGTGTGTTGCCCAGTATGGCAGAACTGAAGGCAGCATCTGGAAGTGTATGTACCCCCTAGCATGCTTTAGCTTTTCTTTAATTTAACTCATTTAAAGTAAAATACTAATAAAAAAAGTATACTTCTATGAAGAAGAAAAGGGATCCAAATCCAGCATCTCTTTCCAAACTGAATTTTTTCAGGCTTCAGATCCTTATTGACCCTTTAAACATTCAAGATGAATATATTCATTCTTGGCTCTGTTCTCTCCTTCTTTATCACCCTATTATCTCTCTCTCTCACCCCCCCAGCATTCCCCCATTCTCCCCCCCCACTGTTTTTTTTCTTCCCCTTTTTGCCCCATCTGCCTCTTCTGCAACTCTCCCACTCTCAAAGAGCTCTAATCTGCTCTCTCCTTCCAACTACTCTCTGGGTTAGAACCAACTTTGACCTGCTTCCCAGCTGCCAGTTCCTTCCCCTACCTCTCTACTTGAATATCTGTTCCCCTGACCTCATGGTCACTTGTGGATGTCTGCTCCCACCCAACTTGCCTCCCAGTTGCCAGAAACCTTCCTTTCCATTGGAGATGCATCCTTCCATATTTGTCTGCTTCTGCCAGAACCACACTAAACCTTTCCTGCTCTTGTGGTAGCCATAATTTCTTACAGCAACGACTTCTGAATATATTGAACACACCTTGTAGTTTAATAGTCACATTGCTCCTCAGAAACTAGATACTAGAAATATCACACTTTCAAACAAAAAGCTGTGAATAATTCACTAGTCTTTTTCTAGTTGAGTTGACTAAGGTTACAAGCAGGGTCACAGTAATACAGAATCCATTTATCCCGCATTTCAGTTCTTTTACTATGTGGATAAAAATTAAGCAAGATTTTATGCAGTTTTTAAAAACCTTGAATGCATTTAACTAATAAACAGCCCCTAACCAACAAACAAAGCAAAAAACAAAACAAAAACAAGCATTTGTCTCAACAAATCACATAACCATTTGCTGAACTTAGTACATATGATAGTGTGAGAGTCAAAACACAGTCATTGGAAGATGATTTGCTTTTTGGTCTACTTGTTAAATATCACCCTAAACATTTTACAAAAATGATGTAACTATATCTGTGCTTTCATGATTAGGTACCCTAACCAGAGTAAGTATCAGAGGGGTAGCCGTGTTAGTCTGGATCTGTAAAAAGCAACAAAGAGTCCTGTGGCACCTTAAAGGCTAACAGATGTATTGGAGCATAAGCTTTCGTGGGTGAATGCCCAGTTCGTCAGATGCATGCTAATGTAACGCTAAGTTAGCTAATGTAACGTCAGTATTTAAAAAGGGCTCTAGAGGTGATCCCGGCAATTACAGACCGGTAAGTGTAACGTCAGTACCGGGCAAATTAGTCGAAACAATAGTTAAGAATAAAATTGTCAGACACATAGAAAAACATAAACTGTTGAGCAATAGTCAACATGGTTTCTGTAAAGGGAAATCGTGTCTTACTAATCTATTAGAGTTCTTTGAAGGGGTCAACAAACATGTGGACAAGGGGGATTCGGTGGACATAGTATACTTAGATTTCCAGAAAGCCTTTGACAAGGTCCCTCACCAAAGGCTCTTACGTAAATTAAGTTGTCAAGGGATAAAAGGGAAGGTCCTTTCATGGATTGAGAACTGGTTAAAAGACCGGGAACAAAGGGTAGGAATTAATGGTAAATTCTCAGAATGGAGAGGGGTAACTAGTGGTGTTCCCCAAGGGTCAGTCCTCAGACCAATCCTATTCAACTTATTTATAAATGATCTGGAGAAAGGGGTAAACAGGGAGGTGGCAAAGTTTGCAGATGATACTAAACTGCTCAAGATAGTTAAGACCAAAGTAGACTGTGGTGAACTTCAAAAAGATCTCACAAAACTAAGTGATTGCGCAACAAAATGGCAAATGAAATTTAATGTGGATAAATGTAAAGTAATGCACATTGGAAAAAATAACCCCAACTATACATACAATATGATGGGGGCTAATTTAGCTACAAGAAGTCAGGAAAAAGATCTTGGAGTCATCGTGGATAGTTCTCTGAAAATGTCCGTGCAGTGTGCAGAGGCGGTCAAAAAAGCAAACAGGATGTTAGGGATCATTAAAAAGGGGATAGAGAATAAGACTGAGAATATATTATTGCCCTTATATAAATGGATGGTACGCCCACATCTCGAATACTGCGTACAGATGTGGTCTCCTCATCTAAAAAAAGTTATACGGGCACTAGAACAGGTTCAGAAAAGGGCAACTAAAATGATTAGGGGTTTGGAACGGGTCCCATATGAGGAGAGATTAAAGAGGCTAGGACTCTTCAGCTTGGAAAAGAGGAAACTAAGGGGTGATATGATAGAGGTATATAAAATCATGAGTGATGGGGAGAAAGTGGATAAGGAAAAGTTATTTACTTATTCCCATAATACAAGAACTAGGGGTCACCAAATGAAATTAATAGGCAGCAGGTTTAAAACAAATACAAGGAAGTTCTTCTTCACGCAGCACACAGTCAACTTGTGGAACTCCTTACCTGAGGTTGTGAAGGCTAGGACTATAATAGCGTTTAAAAGAGAACTGGATAAATTCATGGTGGTTAAGTCCATTAATGGCTATTAGCCAGGACGGGTAAGGAATGGTGTCCCTAGCCTCTGTTTGTCAGAGGATGGAGATGGATGGCAGGAGAGAGATCACTTGATCATTGCCTGTTGGTCCACTCCCTCTGGGGCACCTGGCATTGGCCACTGTCGGTAGACAGGATACTGGGCTAGATGGACCTTTGGTCTGACCTGGTACGGCCGTTCTTATGCAAAAAGCTTATGCTCCAATACATCTGTTAGTCTTTAAGGTGCCATAGGACTCTTTGTTTTACTCTGGTTAAAAGCAACAATGTTAGTGCTTTGTGGCAAAGGCTTGCTAGAATGATCAGACAAGGAAAAAGGTTCTGCTACATGGATTTCATCCTATTCCAACTTCTCATAGGGCTTTACAGTCACCAAGGCTCTCCACTTGATTGCTAAAGCCTGCCTTTTCTCTTGGGCAGTTGAGGAGGGTTTTCTTAAACTCAATTCCCCACAACCCCCCTTGCTCTATGCTATTCATTGTAGCCTGAAATCCAACTCAGTTTTTGTCTGCAATCATATTTTAAAAGGAACAAAGCACCTTTTTAAATAAGGATGTGCCAAAAGCCTCATGCAGAGCTGAGCTAAGCCATATACAGTTCCGATAATTTTTGTCCCATTATATTCTTCCTTTGGGGGGAAAAAAGGTTTGGCTTTTAGGTACTTAAGATGGCTGACACCATGTGGCGATAGACGAAGCTCCCATTAACTTCTCTGGTCCATGATCAGGCAATCAAGTTAATTTCCTCAAAAATTGTTTTAATAATTCTGCTAAAATAGTGATATCAATACTATAGTACTACATAAACTTGCTGTTTCCCTCCTTGAGAAAATGACCACAACTATATTTTTGTCCTTTAGGTGGCAGCATATGACTTCAGTCTTCCAGTGAACATTAATTTCAGTGAGGTTCCATCTTCTCAGCAAAGCACTACAGCTACGACACCTTCTGGGTCAGGAAAGCACATAATTGTTCCTCGTCCTCAAATTCTGTCTATTACTGCTCCATTATGTACAGTTCAAGCAACTGGTACGTAAACTAGGAATATTAAGTGTGTGTGCATGTGCGCACGCGCGTATGTGGTGTGCTCTGTATTGCCCTTTCAGGGGTTTATTGCTAGCTTTAGCAAAGGAAAAATTAGATGCTAAAGAACTGAGGGTAGAACTTACTAGTCTAATTTAGCTTTTATTATAATATCAAATAATTAGAAAATGTATCTTTGCATCTATTCACTCCATTTTAAATGTGTATTTTTGGATGTCTTTGAAACTGGAATTATAATGCTATCATTTCTAAAAATTAAGTATCTGAGAATCATAGAAATATAGGGCTGGAAGGGACCTTGAGAGGTCAAGTACAGTCCCACATGCCGACGCAGGACCAAGTAAACCTAGACCATCCCTGACAGGTGTCTGTCCAGCCTGTTCTTAAGAACCTCCAATGATGGGGATTCCACAACCACCCTTGGAAGCTTATTCTAGTGCTTAACTATCCTTATAGTTACAAAGTTTTTCCTGATATTACAGTCCTCTTCATAAGAGCGCTTAACATAGCTGAAGACTGTTATCAGGATTTTTATCATTTTTATTGCTCTCCTCTGTATTCTCTCCAATTTGTCTATATCTTTCCGGAAGTGTGGCACCCAGAACTGGACACAGTACTCCAGCTGAGGCCTCACCAGTGCTGAGTAGAGCAGGACAATTACCTCCAGGGTCTTACATACAACACTCCTGTTAATACACCCCAGAATGATATTAGCCTTTTTTGCAACTGCATCAGATTGTTGACTCATATTCAATTTGTGATCCACTGTAACTCCCAGGTCCTTTTCAGCAATAATACCACTTTGCCAGTTCGTGTCCATCTTGTAGTTGTGAATTTCTCTTCCCCCTCCATAAGTGTAGTAGTTTGCCCTTGTCTATATTAAATGGCACCTTGTTGCTTTGTTTATTGTTGGTATATTCAGTATCTGAGCACTGGGGGAAAATTATACTTCTGCCAGTTAGAAGTCTTCCTTCCTTTAGTTAGTTAGTTAGTTAGTTAGTTAGTTAGTTAGTTAGTTAACCCACAACCCAATTTGTTTTCTTCTTACTGACTGATAGTACCAAAGTTGGTACTAGCCCCACCACACTTGGAGTAGTTGGCAGGCAGTGTGGAGAAATAGCACATCTTTCACTCCGTATCTTTTCTCTGGGGCTCTGTAAAAATTAGTAAAATTAAAACATGGCTCTGAAGCAGTGATTGTAATCCAGCCTGGAGAGAACTTCTGGGTTTTCTGTTCATATACTTCTCTAAGGAAGAATAAGGAATTTTTTCTCTTCTGGCCCTTAAAAGGCAGGTGAGTGCCCAGATTCCCAGGTATGTTGCTGCTAGCAGCAAACTGGCACCTCTTAGTAGTACAACTCTTCTCAGTAGTCTGAATTCTAGTTAGTTGCCTGGCTCGGGGCATGCCCTGTGCCCCAGGCTTCAAGTCGTGCGACTCCTGTCGCAGTTCTATGCCCAGCAGCGATCCTCACACTCAGTGTCTTCGCTGTCTGGGCGAGACTCACGTAAGTGAGCGGTGTAAAAACTGCAGGTCGTTCAAGCCACGAACGAAATGCGAACGAGCTATCAGTCTCGGGGCCTTAATAATGGAGTCGGCATTAGCACCAGCACGCCGATCTGATCTGGCGCCGGGCACGTCGTCGGTGCGCAGCGACACCCCATCAACTAGTCAGCACCGCTCCTCCGCTAAGAAGCAAGGGGAAGACTCAGCGGTGCCGAGAAAAGGACAGGGGTGAGGCCACACCCCAGTTGGGCAGCCCACGATCCCCCTGGGGACCCAGACCTCCGACGTGTGCTGAGCGGAGTAGTCCGGTCCCGTCCGCATGTGCCTCGCCTGCAGTGCGGATACCGTCGACGCCGGAGGCAGCGCAGGTAGCGTGTGACTTCCTTGCCCTTCCAGTGCCGAGCGTGCCGCCTGAGATGGGCCCTCGCTCCAGAGGGAAGCCACTGCTGGGAGATCATCAACCCTCCCCGGTTCGGCATAGCCCCCGCTCCGAGGATGAGGTGCCTACCTGTTCTGCGGGGCCATCTCGTAGCCCGCGTCGGACGCCCACCCCGTTGACCGACTCACCTGAGAGGGAGTCCCGAGCATCCTCCACTACCCGCAGGGGTCGCAGGCACCGAGACAAGAGGCGTTGACGCTCCTCTTCCTACCAGAGCTATAGGTCTCGACGCCATCGGAACCGACGCTCACATTCAAGTGTTCGCTCAAACAGACATCGTTCGCGAAGCACCCGTCGGCCGTCACTGGCACCGAGGCATCGTAGCCATGGTTGCCATGGGGACTCTGGAAGCAGTACCTCTGACGGGTACAAGTCTTCCTCATCGAGATCTAAGTCTCGAAGCAGGCACCGACATGGCCGCAAACGGTCCCGTCGCTCGTATGGCACCGTACGCTCTTCAGCGACTTCGGCTTCGGCACCCAGCCGCCCATCTCCGAACCATGCCGTCCCGCAGGATTAAGCGGCTCCGCTAGGTCCCCAAGCGGGGCACTGGCAAGGGGCACCCTGGCAGGGGCAGTGGTGTCAATTGGCACCTTGGCCCTAACTGCTGGCACCAGCGAGACCTCGTTCGGCGGCCGGTGCATCGCAGGTGCATTCGACGTCCCCGCCTCGGCACTGGGAGAAGTCAACTGGCACCAAAGCAGCGGCACCGTATCCAGGCTCAGACTTGGGGGTCGAACCACCGGCACCGCCTGTTGCCTTGGAGGCAGATCCGGTCCCGTCACCAGCACCGGAAGACTCTATTACGGTGCCAACACCCGCCTCGCAGTAGGACTTTAAAGTTCACCAGGAGCTCCTTAGGCGGGTTGCCTCGAACCTCCAGCTCCAGGCTGAGGAGATGGAGGAGTCGTCGGATACCTTGTTCAACGTCTTGTCCTCCACAGCACCGGGCCGGGTGGCCCTCTCTCTCCACCAAGGGGTGGCCAATATCTCGACTTTGCTTTGGCAAACCCCAGCGTCATTGGCGCCTATTTCTAAAAAGGCGGAGAGAAAATACTTTGTGCCCGCAAGGGGGCACGAATATTTGTACTCTCACCCAGCCCCGAACTCTCTGGTGGTGGAGTCGGTAAACCACCGAGAGAGGAATGGCCAACCCGCGCCCACTCCCAAGGATAAAGACGCCAGGAGATTGGATACCTTCGGCAGAAAGGTTTATTCATTGGCGAGCTTTCAGCTCAGGGAGGCAAATCACCAAGCCCTCCTGAGCAGATATGATTTTAACTTGTGGGGGTCTCTGCCAAAATTCGAACCTCTTCTTCAGGAAAAGGATAAGAAGGAGTTCAGAGCTTTGGTCGATGAAGGGGTGGCGGCGGCGAAAGCAACCCTCCAAGCGGCTTCAGACGCGGCGGATACAGCAGCCCGTTCAGTGGCCTCCGCTGTTGCCATGCACAGGGCGTCCTGGCTCTCGCTGTCAGGGCTGTCCGCGGAGTCCCAGTCCCTCGTGCAGGACTTGCCTTTTGATGGGTAGGCCCTGTTTGTGGACCAGACGGACACCCGTCTACACGGGATGAAGGACTCCCGCACCACCCTGCAAACCCTGGGCCTATATGTCCCACCAACTAAGGACAAACCCAGGCCACAGACCTTGGTTCCTCCGGCTAGAGGCAGATATGAGCCCTCGCCTAAAAGACCAAGGGAGCAGAGACGCAGGTCCCAGCATCAATCCCGCTCGGCCCCTCGACCTGGGCCCGCCCAGGGGAAGAGGCGCTTTTGACTCTTTGCGGGGGGCCACCGGGCCTGTTGCCAGGGAAGCCCCCCAGTTAATAAAGTTTGTGTTCTGCAACTGTTTATCTGCCTTCCGAGTGCAGTGGTCCCGTATAACGTCAGACCAACGGGTTGCAGTTTGCTTTGCCTCCCCCCAGCCGCCAGAGGTTTCTGGGGATCCGGAGCACGCCCTCCTTCTAGACCAGGAGGTGACGCGCCTCCTCATCCTGGGCGCGGTGGAGAAGGTACCTCGGGAATTCCAGGGCAGGGGTTTTTACTCCCGGTATTTCCTGATCCCGAAGGCAAAGGGCGGGCTCAGGCCCATCCTCGACCTGCGGAACCTCAACCAGTTTATGGTCCGTTACAAGTTCCGTATGGTGTCCCTGGCCTCTATTATTCCATCCCTAGACCCGGGGGATTGGTTCGCAGCCCTGGACCTCCAGGATGTGTATTTTCACATCCATATTTTCGAGGGTCACAGGCGCTTCCTGGTAGGGCGGGACCACTACCAGTTCACGGTCCTTCCCTTTGGCCTTTCCACAGCCGCCAGGGTTTTTACGAAATGCATGGCGGTAGTGGCAGCCCACCTCAGGAGGAACGGGCTGCAAATCTTCCCCTACCTGGACGACTGGCTGCTCAAGGACAAGTCTCGGTCTCAGGTGCAGGCCCAGCTAAAATTCTTACTGGCCACATGCGAGAGTCTAGGCCTAGTGGTAAACGAGGACAAGTCCACGTTAGTCCCGGTTCAGCGCATACACTTCTTCGGAGCACTGTTAGACTTGGTGGTGGCCACGGCCTCTCTCCCCTGGGACAGGTTCGAGACGCTCAAAAGTCTCATAGCCTCAGTCACGGCCTTCCCCGTGATGAGGGCAAGGGTGTGCCTTCAAATCTTAGGCCACATGGCAGCATGCACCTCCATGGTGCGACATGACAGGCTCAGGATGAGGCCCCTCCAACTCTGGTTGGCCTCCCAATATCCCGAAGCCAGGGATGGCCTGGACAAGGTTGTCACGTTACCCCCCGCCCCCCCCCCCCCCCCCCCCGCAGCATAGTGGCCGGCCTGCATGGTGGTCCCTCCCGGCCAACATGTTGCAAGGAATCCCATTCCAAGAGACCCCTCCCTCACTAGATCTGGTGTTGGACGCCTCGGACCTGGGGTGGGGAGCCATCTGTTCTTGGTCCCACCTCTCCTGGAAGGTGGCTTTCTTGGTGGCTATCACCTCAGCCCGTCGGGTCTCGGAGCTTAGGACCTTGACCTCGGAACCCCCATATACGGTC